TTTAGGTTGTACTAATAAAGCTAGAACACTGGTTTAGGTACTAGAAGATTGGGTAGAAAAATGATAGTGGTGGCCATTCCTGGCATAGGGAGAGGAGGGAACAGAAGCCATGAAGGATAGCCAAGAACCTTGAATGCTGGGCCTAGAGACCTGGCTTTGGAAGGCGCTGTAGGAGGGAGACTGCTTACAACCCTTCAAGCCCTCCTCTTCACACGTACAGTTTGAAGTAGGGCTGATCCAAAGTTTTGATCATTTAAAAAGATAATTTATTATTGGTGCACTGTGGATGTGTGTGAAGAGAGAGAGAGAGAGAGAGAGAGAGAGAGAGATGCATGTGGAGGCCAGAGGACAGCTTTGTGGAGTCTGTTTTCCCCTTCCACCTTTCACAGTTCTGGGAATCAAACTCAGATCACCAGGCTTGCATGGCAAGCGCTTTTACCTGTGAAACTGTCTTACTGACCAAGTTTTGTTTTGAGGCAGGGTCGCACTCTGAAACCCTGGCTACTCTGGAACTAACTTTTTAGACCAGACTGGCCTTGAACTTACAGAGATCCACCTGTCTCTGTCTCTGCCAGTTCTGGGACTAAACACGTGTGCCGTCACTCCTGGCTCTACCTACCAGTTTTATTTTCATCTTTGAAATGAACTGAAATTATACAGGAGGGGAAAACCATAACAATGACCTCTGTATTACATTAATATGCATAAGTGCTATTGCCAGGCACTCCAGAAGAGGCAAGGGACCCTGCCTGGGGGTGCACATCTGTAATTCCAGGACACAAGAGGCTGAGGGAGGGGGGGTAACCTTTTCCAGACCAGCCTGGACTATATAATAAGGCCCTTTCTCAAAACAACAAAATCAAAACATGGGGCTCCCGGGATGATGGAGCCCTGCAGTCAGGTAAACAAAGGGATGAGGTTGGGCTTCTAGGGGGTAAGAAGTGGCCCAGGCCTATAATGCATATAAAGTCTCTCAGGTCAGGGTCACCTGTGGTCATTTCCATCTGGGCCAATCAGACCTCCACTGTCCTCCTATAGATAAGATCTCTCCTGCGCAGAACAATGCCTGCACTCGCTGTCTACTGACTGGGCAGAAGTGAACAGCTTCCTTCAAAAAAGCCCATGTTCTATTTGCAAAGGTCTGTAGTTCCTCTGAATGGCCAACTTGACATAGGGCACGGAAATACATTTGGTTGACCGTGGGTGTGGCTCAGTTGGTAGAGTGCTTGGAAGCCAGCCCTGGGTTCAGTGTCCGGCACTGTATAAACTGGGTGCAGTGATGCGCGCATGCAATTCTAGCACTTGGGAGATGGAAGCTTGAGGGTCACCTTCTGTATCATCTGAGGACGCATAGTAAGTTCAAGGCTAGGCTGGCATACAAGAGACCCCGTATCGAGTAAAAAAAAATTAAATAAATAAATAAAGCAAAACTGTGCTAAAAAGAAACAGTCTGAGGCTAGAGAGATGGCTCAGTGGTTCAGAGCATTTGCAACTCTTCCAGAGGACCCAAGTTTGGTTCCCAGCACCCAGGTCCTTTGGCTCACAACTGTTATATGGCTCCAGCCCCTTGGAAATCCAATCCCCTCTTCTGATCTCCATACACTCACATGTGGCATACATTCACCCAGACAGACGTACACACCTAAGCGTAAATAAAAAGAAATATTTAAAAAGTTACTTGTGTAGGCCTGGAGAAGTGGCTCAGGGGTCAAGAGCACTTGTGGCTCTCACAAGAGAACACAGCATCTACAGGGTGGCTCACAACCATCTCTAACTCCAGTCTCAGGGTTCCTACACCCTCTTCTGACCTCTGTAAGCACCAGATACACATGGGGTACACTTCCATACGTGCAGGCAAAACAGTCATACACATAAATGAATTGTAAAAAAGCATTTCAGTTACTTTCAGGTGGGCTCTTTTGGTCTCCCTCAGAAAGGGTGGTTTTTGCACACTATCTTGCAAAGAAAACCTTACAGAGTTCCCATTTCTAAGAAGGAAAATTTCTAAACTGAGGCAGAGAGAGAAGCAGCTCAAGTGGTTCAAAGTCCTGAACAAGGTGTTTGCAGTGTCAGGATTTGAACTTGGGGATCTTGACTTCAAAGCCTTTGTTACTTGCCATGTTAAACTTAGCCCAATAAAAACGATCATTTATTGCTTTTTTTTTCTGTGTGCCAGACTAAGCATTTTTCATCTGCTGTGTCACAGTTCACATTGGAATTCCAATGTCTTTGCAGATGCGCAAACTGAGATTCAGTTTAAACAATTTATTACGTAAGTCAGAGCTCAGGAGACACAGTGACCCCTGTCCATTCTCTAGGTTGGGCAATAGGACCCTGCCCCTGCCCCCACCCCACCAAAGACCACAGTGGTCACCAGCTACCAGGCAGGGCAATGGAGATAGCCACCCAGGAAGAAGCCATCCAGGTCACTGTCCAGAGGGAGGGGTTTTCAGGAACGGTCCAGTTGCTTGGGTGGTCAGATGAAAGAGACTTAGGGCTCTGAGGAGAGAGAAGCCAGTTTTAACCAGTCTTGAGCATCTTTTTCAGGTAAGTTGGTAAAACTTACAGATTGAGGGAGGGCTGAGGAGTTCTGGGATCTGGGGAGAACCTTCCCGGTGTTCTGTTGTGGAAAGGGCTCACTGAAATATAGATAAGTCATTCGTATTGACTATGGGGTTTCCCAAAGAGGAGAGCTGTGCGTTGACCTCATCTCATTAAGTTCCAGAGAGGGAACTCAGCAGGAATCACATACCGTGGGCCTGTCTCCAGCTGTGTGACATGGGACTGTAGGCCGGTCTGCTAGCTGAGTCCTGGCCATCTTGGAAAAGGCTTGGAGGTCAGATGGTTCAGGCCTCAGCTAGGATCCTGGGCCAATGGCTGCTTAGCCAGTCTGAAGCGTGTGGTGTAGGCTGTCATGGGAGGGGCCCCCAGTGCTCAGACAGCCACCATGGTGCTTCAGCCTTTAGCTTCCCTGTTGGAATGGACCGGATTGATCCTCTGGACTGTGATCTAAATGTTAAATTATCAAGGAAACTCACTTTCCACACACGCAAGAAGCAGGCCCCCAACGGGCCCACAGAAACTGCCCTTGGAGTTTCCCCCAAAGGCATGGTGGCCTCTCCTTGGAGTTGGCTCTCTGTGGAAAGGGGCTGTCGTCCAGATGGGCCTGGGCGCCAGCCAGCTGCTGAAGTTTCCAGCAACCACGCCAAAAGAAAGTGCCTCGGCCTTCAAGTGACAGGTCCCAGCCCTCCCACCCTCACGTCAGCTCACTTCCTGGGCCTCTTTCACTCCCTGGGTCTCTGGCAGTTTGGGGGCTGGTTCCTTCACCAGCTGCCCCTTGGGTCTCCAGGCTTGGGGAAACCCCAGAGCTGGTTCTGGGCCCAGTCCTGGAAGTCACCCCTTCTCATGTGAGGTTTCCATTTCCTGGTGAGAGCTGCCCTTTTATAGCAAGGGGCCCCCAGTTGCCCGGGCAACAGCAGGGTTTCCTGTAGCTGAGCTTCAATCACAGGCAGATCTCTGTGTCCCCCAACGCCAGCATTACCAGGTCACTGCTCCTTGCTGACTGCCGGACTCCAGCAGAGGCAACATGGGGGCAAACTGATAAAGTCCCTGTACCTAAGGCCCCACCAGTACAATAAACCACCACCCCTGACATGTCTGCTCTATGCTGGAAGTGATTCAGGTCCCATCCCCCAGCAGTTTGTGCTTAGCATAACCTTGAACTCAGAAATGGGCGCTAAGCCCCAGTCACAGACCTTAGAAGTGTCAAGGGAGCCATCTCCTAAGTTAGGGGATGTGTAGGGCTGGAGAGTGCTGAGTTGCAGGTCCCTATGGTTCCACCCTCCTTTCTAGTTCATTCCTTGCAAGTAAGTTATTTTTTGCTCTTACAAAGCAGTTTGTAGCTGTTTTAAGGCAGTCCGCGTACGCCTGCCGCTCCTAGTGGCGGTCAGTGGCCCTCCGTGGTTCCTGATTGCTTAACTTGCATCTCCTGCCCTTCTGCTGAGTGCTCGTGAGCTCAGTTCAGCCCTGCGCCCACTTTGCTTCCCTTTTTTATTTATTTATAAATTTGTTTATTTATATACCTGTGTCCCAACTTCATTGTAGCTCTTGTCCCTGACACCTCCAACCCATAGTCCTTCCCCGGTTTCAGTAAGATATTTCACCCTGTTTGTTCCCACAGTGGCGATGGCCGTGTTCCACCAGAGTAGAGCCAAGTCTTCACAGTGACCTCAGGTCATCCTCTCACCATCCTTCTGTCTGCTGCCACCTCAGTCACCTCAGTCACATTGACCTCTGTGTTGCCTCTTACCCAGGCATCTGTGTGAGACCTCTGGCTGGCCGCCCAGGGTTACATCCCATCGCCTTTTGTCACCAGGTGCTTCTTGTAATCCATGTGGGACTGTGAAAATGGGACCGTCCAGTCTTGAGTATGTTCTGCTGTGTTCTCAGGGTTCAGGGCATTGCTGGCTGAGATAGATGATGGGCGAATGCAACATACCCAAGCTGAGATGATGTCCTCAGAGAGGACTCCTGCTTCTTCCCATTTGTATGTGAGAAGGCCTGGCTGGGAAGTCATTCTCAGTGGCTTGGAACAAGGGCACACCAAGTGCATGTAGCACACAGGGGCTCTGGATTCTGGAATTCTAAATGGTTTGTATTTGGACCAAATGTGGTACCTGGCCCTGGTCTCCTGTCTCTTACAAAGAGCATCTGCTGCCTGTAAGGACTGCTAAAAGGATTAGGGGAGATACCAGGCACATAGCAGGGCCCGGGTCAGTGCTAGGTCAGTGGTCATACCCAGCCTCCCTTCTCCTCCAGGTGCCTTTCCCACCCTGCTAAGACTGGCTGTACAGTATCTAATCCAGCCCCTGAAAAACAAAGTTCCTGGCTCCACCGGGTCTCTGGGTATGAGAACAAGAGGGAAAATTGGGGGGGGGGGGGATAAAACAGAGTTACAGAGTCCTGGAGTGGTCTCTCAAATTTTCTTTGTCTTTCCACAGTGGTTTCTGCTACAGAACCTGAGACCATGGCCAAAACAGCACAGGTAAGTGTCTCTCCTTCTCAGTGTCCTACCCTTAGGTCTGGGAACCCTAGCATCAGTAGGCCAGAGTCCCAGGTACCTTCAGCTAAGCTAGGTACCTTCAGTTAACCCTTGGGGCCCTCAGCTAACCCCTGGTACTTCAGGTAAGCCCTGGTACTTTCAGCCCTAAAGGACTAGAAGTGGCTGTAAATTCACAGCTCTTCCTATGCAAGTCGCCAGAGACGATGCACAATATCCCAGGTACAAAAGGATGCGAATTGACTCAAGTACTGGGAACTGCAGGGCTTCGGGACTGGTTGGATCCAACTCTTAGATGGCAGAGTGAGGATTCGGCTTTGGTGGGCAGCTCTTTCTAGATTGCTTCATTCCTGAGAGGTTCTTTCTTGCCTGCCATGGGCATCGTGCACCTCCAAGCTTCCATTATCTGGTGGTCTTCAGAGACCCGGATACAATAGTGCAACTTATTTTCAGTGGTTCTGGGTTTTATCCTCATTGGCCGGGTTTGGGTAACATGTTTTTTAGAGTGGGGAGTTGAAGTGACCCCACCAGAACTATGGGGGCCCCAGGAAGGGAGATGGGCACTAGATCGCAATGAGAGGTGCTTATGCCCCGAAGAGGTGTGTTCCGTGTTATACCCATTGGGGTTATGTTTTCCTGGCTGGGAAGATCATGACCTCGGTCTTTCATGCTATTTGGCCACTTTATTGGGTGATAGAATTTGAGACCAAATGAAGCATTCTCTCGTATGTGACTAAGTGAGGCATAAGGGATTCCTCTGTGTCAGTCAGGGTTTACCTGAGAAGGGGTCCCACTTGGCTACCCTTACAGTGCTGGAAGGGGAAGATGAGCTGAGGGACCCCCAGCAGATCCCTTTTTGTTGTTTACTCCATCTCTTTAACTTCCGGTCACAGAGCAGGCCTCTTACCGTCTGGCCGAACTGAGAGCTAATTTCACATCATCCCTCCTTGTGACATGACACGCAGTGCACCGAGGATAGCCGCAGCTTGCAGAGAGTCGTGTTTATATGATGCAAGACAGACTCTAAATAGCTCTTGCACAGCTTCCACCCATGCCCCTGAGGAGCAGCATGCTTTGTCCCATAGCCTCTATGATCAGGCCGACTGGAAAGAATATTCCTTGTTGTACAGAAAGCTCCAGGACGGGAGCTGCTGCTGCTTCCTTCTTCCTGTGTGTGTGCACGGGCAGGAGCTGGGAGGCACTCGCCTTGCAGGGTTCTGAATGACTCAAACGACAAGTCAAGCTGGAAGATCGTTCGGGCCAAGACTTGGGGTTCAGAGGTTTGGGCCAGGGCCAATAGACCAAGCAAGTTTCAGGGGGGTTGGGTGTGAATGCAAGTCAGGCATCCTTGCGTCATGCTTTGGTGGGACATGAAAAAGGTCTGGGGCCAGCAGAAGGGTACCCCCTTTGGGTTAAGAGGCTTTGGAAAACAAGAGGGGTCTGGGGCAGGCTGGCTGGATCAGAAGGCCAGAACTGAGAAAGAATCCAGTGTAGTCAGGGCACAGGGTAATTCTGGGTGCCTGGCAGGCAGCAACCTCAAGAGGGAGAAGGTTGCTGAAGACAGGGCAGCGTGAAGAAGGAAGTTTGTCTATTGCTTGCTCTTAGCACTGTCTGCAGGGTGCCTCCTCCCCCCACACACACACCCTCGCAGACACACAGCACATTGTTCACACTCCTTGGGTCCAGTCACCTTAGCTCCTTCCATTATGATGATGGGTCCTTCCTGTCACCTTCCAAAGAACTGAACTTGGAAGAAGGCCCCAGGAGACGTGGCTCTGTGGCCTGTTTAGTAGTGAGATTTGGTATTGAAATGCAATAACAAATACAAAAGCACTTTGCAGACAGGGAGAGAGGGGTGGGTGTCCTGGGATCCCAGCAGCTGCAGGATGAGGTGGGTACCAGAGCTGGCTATGGTTGCTGTCTGCTAGAGTTCCCGTATAGGCAATCATCCGTCTAGGTAATGTGTATCTGCGTTCTAGGAGGCCCAGGACACCTGCAGTAGCTGGGGTGGGGCCTCACAGGCTGGAGCCCCAGGGCCCAGGCTGCTCACCACCTGGCAGCGGGGTCTGCTAAATATTTCAGGGTGGAAAGCTTTCTCCCCCACTCCCTCCGTCCTGGGTATCTGCTTCCAGAATCCTATCTGCATGGGGTGGGACAGGCTGGTTACAGGTGGCCGGGGCAGCTGCACAGGTGGCATTTAGGAATATAAACTTCCATAATGGGGTGAGCCATGGCCTGTGGGAGCTAGGCCTAGACGGTTTGAGGGAATGTTTCTATAGCTTTATGTTAGCAGCTAGAGCTAAGTCCCATTTTGCTTGCAGTGCCCATGACTGTGTGATATCTTAGATTGTGGAGCTAGCGGGCAGGCAATGAAAAGACTTCTCTATCCTTGTGCAGAGCCGCATGGGGGACTGAACTAGATCCCCACTTAGTTTCTCTCTGGCCAAGCCTATGTGGGCCATTAGCCACCCTTCCCTGGTGTCACCTTGATTGTTTTATCTTCAGCCCAAACAGCACAAGAACCCAGCCACACCATCCACAGCGGGAGAAGGGCAGAGACGAAGTAGCCACAACAGGGAGGGCAGCATGCCTGGTGCTCTGTCTTCTGCCCCACAGCCTGGCAGGTGCCTCTTGTCTCCTCCAAGCCCTGTAGTGACATTTCGTTTTTATTTTAATAAATAAAGCTTGCCTGAAGATCAGAGAGTAAAACAGCCTTACAGACCAGGCAGTGGTAACACACATGTTTAATCCTAGTAGCCACACTAATTGCCATAGAAACCGGGCGGTGCGTGCCTTTAATCCCAGAACTAAAGAGGATTATAAAACAGGAGGAGACAGCTCTTAGTCTCAGTCTCGTTCTGAGATTCCTGGAGACAGGATCGCCATTTTCAGACTGAGGACAAGGTAAGAGCCAGTGGCTAGCTATTTTGCTTTTGTGACCTTCAGGTTGAACCCCAATTTCTCTCTCTAAGTTTTTATTAATTGTGCTTCACAGCCCCTGTAGGCAATTTCTAGTCTTATGGTCATTGACCTTGGGCATCTGACTATGAGCTTTCGAGAACCATCTCAGAATCTGTCTTGGCACTTGTTGCCTCTACCGTGAGCCTTGTAATGATTAATCTCAGTTGTCAGTTTAATAAGATCTAGATGCACCTAGGAAAATGTCTTCTTGGCATGCCTACGGAAGGATTCTCTTCCCTGTCCACCCCTACACACACTTTATGTAGCTCTGGCTGGCCTGGAACTCACTGTTTAGACCAGTCTGCCTGCCTCTGCCTCCTGAGGCCTGGAATTAAGGGGGTATGCCACCATGCCCAGCTCTGGAGGATTACCTTAATTAGGTTAATTGAGATAGGAAGACTTACCCACTATGAGTAACACCATTCCCTAGGCTGGGATCCTAGACTGTATGAAGAGGAGAAAGTGAGCTAAGCACAAGCCTTTATTGTTCTCTGCTTCTTGACACTAGATTGAGTATAACCCCAGCTTCTCCACCATGATGCACTGTGCTCTTGAACCATGAGCCAGAATAAGCCCCCTCTCCCTTAAGTTGCTTTTGTTCAAGGTATTTTATCTCAGAGATCGAAAAGAACCTAAGGCATCCCTACTATTGGCCTTGAGAAAGGCATCAGTTTGAAACTGCTGCTGTTTGACAGCTTTTAACCTACACAGAAGATGGGTTAGTTACATGGTTAAACTTCCTGGGGGGGGGGGATACAAAATCCTGGAAACAGCATCATGAGGAGCATCTCTGTTTAATGGGCAGAGACAGCAATGCCAGGTGCAAGAACCAGGCCCTGACTTAGGGGGCATGCCTAGGGTAGCCAACAGGACTGCAAGCTCTTGATAACATTGCAACCCCATCTTCTTCTTCATTCTCATTGCACCCCAAATGAGTTGAAAGACTCTGGGCATCAGCTCCTAAGCACTGTATCCTGGGGTTCCTTTACGCAATGTTCTCACTGTCTCCCAGCCCTCTGCCGTATCTCCTCTGTGTGGTAATTTCCACAGCCTGTCTCCCGAGGATAGAGGACCACCATTACTCATCCTATAGAACTCACGGGGACTCAGACATCATCTCCAGGAAGTCAGCTCTAATCTGCTCAGCATGTATTCTCATTAATTCACATCTACTTCAGAAGCTAATACCAGGTGTGCCTAGATACCCCAGGTCCTATGCTGGGGGCTGGAAATACATCAGTGAGCAAGACAGATGCAGTCCCAGCCTTCACAAGGTTTCTTCTCCAGCCCCTGTGATGTACTTAGCTGATTGGATTGTGGGTGCACTTACCATGTAGTTCCCTACCCGACTGTGAGTTCTTACAGGTCCCCGGGCTAAGCACCTTATAGATTCTCAGTGAGAGATGGATGGATGGATGGATGGATGGATGGATGGATGGATGGATGGATGGATAGCTTGGTAGGTAGATGGAATGGCAGATAGACAGATTGACAGATACATAAACAGACAAACAGATAAATGGATGGGAGGATAGATTGAGCATAAATTGGCAATGTGTGGTTTGGTAGGTAGATAGGCAACTGAATAACAGATGGATGAGTAGGTGGCTCTAGTTTCCCTGGAAACAAGAATCTTCGTGTGAGAAGCCTTTGGGGTCTAGGCGTGGTGAGGCACTGATGCCTGTTTATAGCTTGAATGTGGGTCACCCTGACAGGGAGAGGAAACGGGTCTCCAAAGCTGCCATCCCAGCAGGGGAGTCAGACAGTGCAGGACAATCGTTCCATGTTTGGTCTTCAAGAAGAGATAGGTGGGTGTCGTTAGCTGGGGAAGAAACTCTAAGCTATATGATGGTCACGCCTTCCCTTATGATCGGCCACACCATTCTGGCATCTGGCAGGAAGGGAGAAAGCTTGGTTTGCTAGAAACGGCCATCTTGACCTTCTCAGTCAGACCTCTGACATGCTGGCTGGTCACATGTCACTTGTCCTCTCTATTTTGGGTCTTTGAAATTTTAAGACCCGTTACCTTTTTTCTCCAAGTGAGCCCGAGAATTGGTGGCAAGGAGGTTGGAGCTAGAGAGATGAAGGCGTGTGGACTCAGGCAGGTGGAAAGAAAAACATCATGAGTCATGGCAGCAGCTGGCTGCCCCAGATAGACCCCAGAGGACCTGACTCCCAGAAAGCTATTTCAAAGCTGGACGCTCTGTTGCTGGTCCCAGCATCTCCAATGCTGAGCAATGGTGCTAGGAATCCATGCTAAGGAGTCAAGCTGCCCTCCCCCGACCTGCCTCCCTCTTCAGCATTCTTCACCTCAGTCCTTCATTCAACTCAGTTACATTTAGCAAGTCCTCTCTGGTCTCCATTGCTAAGCCTGTGCTGGGTGTGGGGATCCACTCTGTCCTGTGTGGTCATGTCCTGTTCATGACAGCTCCTGTCCTTGTGGAGTCAAGAGTCTGAGGGCCAGATGTGGTGTCACTCACCTGTAATCCCAGCACTCAGGTGGCAGAGGCAGGTGCATCAAGAGTTCAAGGTGAGCCTTGGCTACTTAGTGAGTTCACGACCAGCCTTGGCTACATGAGACCTTATGTCAAGCAAACAAACAAAACTCCCAAAAGGATCAAGAGGAAGAAAGGTTAGACTAAAAGTCTTTAAGGCCCTTTGCAAAGCAGACATTCTGGTTCCCTTTGCTCCCTTTTTCTCCACCCTAGAAGCTAATGGTAGTTATTCTCTGACATTGCTAGACCAGGATAGACAGAGAGAAACACCAGGTGATTAGAAGGTAAAATTCCAGCTGGACACCGTCTTTTTTTCTGACAGCAGGGACTTGAGGGTCTCTTCTGGTCCGTCTCTGAGCCATGCGCAGACCAGGCCTGACACTGGACCTCAGGTCCCTGGATCAGGCTATCCAGGGTGGCACTGTGCAAATGCAAATGTAGCAGGCAGGCCTCAGAAGGGCTGAAGAGGGCGGAGGGAATCTAGGCAGGAGGTGGGGCCAGCATGTGCCATCCTTTGCCTTGTCTCTTGCTTTGCCCAGGCCTGAGATCAGATTGCAGGGGATTCCCGAATAGGGAATGGCGGGAAGAAGGTGTGTCCCTTGGAGCACTTTAAATAGTCGCCCTGCACCCACACACGCATACCTCTGAAGAGTTAGCTTTGGTGACCGATGGCAGAGGGCAGACAGATGTCTGGCTGGACTCTGTGGGAGGAGCCACCAGGGGACACAGGACCATGGGAGGACTCCGGCTTTGCCTGTCCTCGTCTCACTCATTAAGACACAATCTGTGGACTCCTCAGCCTCCTGCTGCTCCTCCATCTACAGAACCTTTTATAATCTCTCTGGAGCTGGTGTTGGGCTTAGCTGTTTCCTCTGTACCGTGCCTCTCTCTCTTTAGGTGTTTACATAACCATTTCTGGTTCATCTCTGTCACTGGGCGAGGGGCTCAACAAAATTAGATCTTCGGTTTTTCTGAATCTTCAGCCCTTGGCCCAGGGCCTGGCACAGACTGTGTGTTATGTGCCTGCCCAGCGACAGCCCCGTGTGCACTGGATTTACCAGGTGGTTCTCCCAGACCCCATGCTTCGCCATACTGTAAAGCTGACCCACATCTGACTCCTCCGTGAAGCAGCCCATTGTGCATTCAGCTTTGATCTGATGTCTGAGGTCCGTTGGCTCTCTGCCTTCCTCTTCTGGCCTGCAAGGACCCTGCCAGCTTATCCTTAGATGCCAGTTCACAGCTCAGTTTACTGGGCCCCCAGGACCTGTGCTCATCTTGGCATTGAATCTGAGAGTAGCTCTGGGTCCCCTGAGTACTTGGCAGCTGTTAGGTTTGTGCAGCTGAGGGGAATAGGGAAGAGGACCGCGGTCTGTGGGACTCCTTCTCAGGGTTTGTTTGTAGATGCCACCTTAAACACGGCCACCATGGCTAATATAATTGTGTTCACGGAGACAAGAGGCTTTGTAAACTGTAAAATGCCGTTAAAAAATGGTTAGGAGTACTGGGAAGGTGGCTCAGACCTCCTCAAAGTACTTGCTAGGTAAAACATTGAGGACCTGCATTCAAGCCTGAGAACCCAGACCCCACCCCCTCTGCAAAAACAACAACAAAAAGCAGCATGGTGGTATGTCCTTGTAATAGCAGTGTCGGGGAGACAGTAACAAGTGAATCCCTGGGGCCCAGTGGCCAAGCCACCTATGATAGGTGATCCCCAAACCCCTGAGAGACCCTCTCTCAAAAAATAAGGTAAGCCAGGCATGGTAGTTCATGCCTTCAATCCTAGCAGAGGCAGGTGGATCTCTGGGAGTTGGAGATAAACTTAGTCTTCATAGTAAGCTCCAGGACAGCTGGGGCTCTGTAGAAAGAGCCTTGTCTTGAAAAACAAAGAACCCAAAACAAGATGTATGGCCTGGCAAGATGTCTCAGTGAGTAAAGAGTCTTGCTACACAAGCCTGCCACCCTAAAGGTGGAAAGAGAGAGCATCCACCTAAGGCGGAAAGAGAGAACCGGCTCCAGCAAGCTGTCCTTCATATGTGCAGCATGGCCTACACATACCCACCCTCTAAACACAGTAATAATGAACTTTTAGCCATTCTTAACAAAAATAAATAAATAAATAAATAAATAAATAAATAAATAAGGTAGGACGGGGTGTGATGGCACAGGCTTTTAATCACAGCATTTAGGAGGCAGAGACGGGGGTGGGGGTGGGGGGCATCTCTGTGAGTTCAAGGTCAGCATAGTCTACAGAGCAGTCCTAGCCCTAAGTAGTGAGACCCTACTTCAAAATAAACAAACAAAAACATCAAAGATGACACTTGAGAAACAACACCTATGGCTGCCCTCCAGACACACACACATACACACACACACACACACACACACACACACACACACACACATGGGACTCTTGTCACTCACAGGGATCATTTCCAGCCCTGCCACTCAGCCAGGCTTTTTAAGCTCTCCTGCTGGTGCCAGGTGATGAAGGGTGATGAGCTGTGACCCGTGGCCAAGCTGCCCTCCCTTGGAGGATGGCACTGTCTTTTGAGCAGCCACTCCCTTCCCAGGTGACCTCAGGTGACCTCTGGGAACGGAGCTCAGCCTGAACCAGAACTAGGGTCTGACCTGGGTGCAGGTCCGAGGTTGGAACTCACCCTCTGCTTTTCTCTCCACAGGGCACGATGTACCGAGGCTCCATCCATGACTTCCCAGACTTTGATCCAAATCAGGATGCTGAGGCTTTGTATACAGCCATGAAAGGCTTCGGTGGGTGTCGGCCACCCAAGAGTGGGTCGTCCCATGGGGAGGAGGGTGCATGGAAGGTGGCCAGTCCACTCTGCATGTGGCCTGTCCTCGAGCCATCTGTTAGTATTCTGTGGCTTTTCCTAGAGAAACATGAACAGACTTTAGTCTATCCAGTTAGGGCACCCCAACAAACCAAAGACACCATTCCAAATTCATCTAGTTTGATGAATCAGTGAGTTTATTGGGGTTACTTAAAGGAGCATAGGTGACCTCAAAACAGCTGCATACCAAAAAGCCCACGTTCCTGGAAAGCTTCATCCTTAGTGCCCCCTGCCCAGCTTGCAGGCAGCTCCATCAGCAAGGCTTCGCTGTCCCCAGCCATTGCTACTGTTTTTATAATCCTGGGGAAGAGCCCCGTGGTCCATGTCGCAGTCTGTGCTTTCTGAATCCACTAAGATCCCAGAACTTCTGAGCCCTGTAAATTTCATGAGCATCTATGCCTTAAAAGCCTCCCTCCTCCATCCTTGAGAGAACGTCCCAGCCCGTGGAAATGGCTACACAGTAACTGTTGGTGGGGGAAGAGCCTGGAATGTGGTTTGGTTTTGTTTTGTTCCTGTTGCTAGGGGTTGGACCCAGAATCTCACGCATGCTAGACAAGTGCTCTGTTTTGTAGCTGTGTGATTAGCTTATTTAATTAATTTTTTGTCTTTTTCATATTTATAAATTCTCAATAAAATATGTCAAACCAAAAAAGTATATACATACACACACATATATGTATATACTTTTTTCTGTATTTGTGCTTCAGAGAGCTCGATCATGTATATATTTATGTCAAACCACTAAAGAGAGGTTTAAAAAAATACTGAAGCCTTACCCATAGACCTGAGCTTATGGAACAGACCTGGTTGGTATAACTGAAAACCTTGGTGAGTTGGTACCCTCCTGGTGACTCCCCTGCCTTTCTTCAGGGTGTCCACTGACCTGAATTTGTGCTCATTGCCACCTTTGCTTCTCTGCAGTGGGCAGAACACATGCTGTTAGGACATCTGGGTCTTTCTAAGTCAAGCACATTGTGAGGCCTTGTGGAAATCCTTACCTGTCTCTGTGCCTCAGTTTCTGTATTTGTGCCACAGAGAGCTTGATCAGCGGCCCTTTGAGCTCAGGTGTTATGAATGCAATGACCCCTCTCTATGGGTATGTAGAGGTCCCTTTAGACCAGTGGTTTTCAACTTTCCTAATGCTGCGACCCTTTAATATATTCAATCATTTCATTGCTGCTTCGTAACTGTAATTTTGCTACTTTTATGAGTTGGGCTTTTTGTTTGTTTGGTTTTTGACTTTTTGAGACAGGGGGTTTTCTGTAACTTTGGAGCCTATCCTAGAACTAGCTCTTGTAGACCAGGCTGGCCTCGAACTCACAGAGATCTGCTTGCATCTGCCTGCAGATGCTGGGATTAAAGGCATGTACCACCACCACCTGGCAACTGTTATGAATTATAATATAAATATCTTATATTCAGGATAGCTGATGTGAGGGGTTGTGACCCACAGATTGAGAACCACCATTTCCTTGTTGAGAGCAGAAAGTTGTTGAGAGCTGCAAGGCCTCTGCCTGATAAAGGAAGCAGCCTGGAGGGCTTCCTGGAGGCAGGCTGGGCGGGGTGACAGCTTAACTGACTATAGTAGACTTGCACCTTGTTGAGCAAGTCGAGATAAACAGAGTGGAGAGTTGAGTGGTGGACGATTCATTACCTGCGGCAGGGGAGAAGGCCTACAGCCATTTCCCAGCCAGCACTCACACTGAACAAGTCAAGCATGGACATTTTAATGCAGGCCCGTACAGATTCACACAGCCACGGTCGGATTCCTGAGTGAGCGTGCACTCACGCTAAGAGTACAGTCCCAAGCATGCTCACTTTAGAGTGCCATAAACGCCTCTGGGCATGCTCCACACGCACCACGAAGCTTTAGTTGAAACAGTCGGAAGGACATTTTGAAAGTGAATTAACATGGGCCTCTGAACCTGAAGGCACTGTCTTGCTTCGTCACTAACAGGTGCCCTCAACTCTTCTTTCTAGGCAGTGACAAGGAGTCCATACTGGAGCTGATCACCTCCCGCAGCAACAAGCAGAGGCAGGAGATCTGCCAGAGTTACAAGTCCCTCTATGGCAAGGTAATTCTCTGACTGCTTGTGCGCTGGCTCTTCTTCCTCTGCTCTTTCTTGTCCTTCGGTGTCACGTGTCATCTGAGTACCAGACCTGTGCCATAGCCACTCTCTTACACACCTGGATCCGAGGAGACACAGATAGTGGATCTCACAGTGGTGGGGGAGGGCAGTGCCGAGAGCTAGAACCTGCATGGCCTACTGCCAGCTGCATGGCTTGGGGCAGTGGCCTGAGGTCTCTTGAATCTTCTTTAAGTGGCACTGGTAGTGTCTCTTCCCAAGAGCTGGATCCAGCAAGGCGACTCAGCCTTGGCCAGGCAGAGAAAGCATTCACTTCTCACTCATCTCTACCATGGTGTTCCTCCAACCCCAGGACCTCATCGCAGACTTGAAGTATGAGTTGACAGGGAAGTTTGAGCGGCTGATCGTGAACCTCATGAGGCCGCTTGCCTATTGTGATGCCAAAGAAATCAAAGACGCCATCTCGGTAAGAAGCGTGGGTCGAAGTGTGCACTGCAGATGTGGGCAGTAAGTTCTGGGCTTTGCCACAAGCTTGTGGTCAGTCCCTGCCCACCCAGCACATGTGGCCTGCTCTGAGAGCCAGCCTGTTGCAGATGGGTTTCCTAGTCTTCTCCAATCTGATAGATGTGGGCAGAGGTTAGGGAAAAGTAGACCCTGTAAAATGAGGCCTTTGTTCTGATCCCCATGCCGGGAGTCATAGTCCTGAGAAAGTGGAGACATGGAGACAAATGCTGTCCAACACACTTGAAGCTGAGGGCACAGTAAAAACTAATTATTGAAGACACTGGGTCTAAGAGGACCAAGTTGAACCCAAAAGCCTGCAGAGGCTCTGGTGGATAGGAGCGCAGAGGACATTCCAGGCTGGGGGCTGTGTGTTCAGCTATGAGAAAGGCTTAACCTGCTTGAGACAGAGGGATGCCCTTGGTTAGGTGTGGTGGTGCCTGCTGGCAATCACAGCAGTGGGGAATGAAGGCAAGAGCATGGTAAGTTCGAGACTGTAGCCTAGGTTACAGAAAAGACCTAAAAAGTGTGGGGAGTGGGGCACTGGGAAGATGGCCCAGTGGGTAAGTGCTTGCTATAGCAAAAGTGAAGACCTGACTTCAAATCCTCTATAAAAAGCCTCTGTAACCTCTGTGTTGTGGGGAGTGGGAACAGGTGATCACCAGGGCCGATTGGTTAGTCCATCTAGACAGAACAGCAAGTTCTAGGTTTAGTAAGAGACCCTGTTTGGAAAGCTAACGTGGAGAGAGATAAAGAAGACATCTGAAGCTGCCCTCTGACCTCTGCATGCATATACTTGTGTATGTGTGTAAACACACACAAAGCCCCCAGTTTAAGGTGTGTGACTCAGAGATAGAATGCCTACTTGGAAGCTCTGGGTTTCATCCCTAGCACCCTAAAAAATACACACAACAGCCCTTGGTTGTACCTGGCATTTTGCAGTGTATAAAGTCTATGACCTCTGCCGTCATTGAGTTCCCACACATAGATGATTCAGTTCGTGAGTGGGTACAATTGGCCATGTGGGAATGTATTGCTTTCCAGGTCATCCTTAGAATTTGTCAGTGTAACAAAGAGCTTCCTCGTTGTATAGATGAGAAAATTGTGGCCAGAAAGATGGAGTCGTTGTTGTTGAAGGTTTTATAAATGTTCGTTTTATGTACAAAGTGCTCCATTGGGTGGGTGACTTGGAGAATTCATTCAAAGGTCATTCAGTCTGACTTAATGAACACCGTGTACTCTATGGGCAGAACTCTGGCAGTACACTTGGAGGCTCTGAGGCTTGTGCAGGAATGCCAGCAAAGGTGTAATCTCTGCAGTAAACTTTACTGTGCCAGCAAAGTTGCCAGTGGACCATCTTGCTTTCAGTAGTGATTCTAGGGAGAAAAGAACACAGGATTGTGCTGGTTTTTGAATTTTTATTAATTTATTGAGTCAGGGTATCATGTAGCCCAGACTGGCCTTAAACTCCTAAACCTTCTTTCTGCCTCTACCTCCCAAGTACTAGGACTAGATCTTTATGTCTACCATGCCTGGCTTTATGCAGGTCTGGGTCAAACACAGGGTCTTATTGCATGGCAGGTAAGAACTATACCAAGTGAGCCACATCCTTAATCCCAAGATTGCATTTCTTAATGAGAAATCATCACAGCTGCTATATAGGTGGGACTAGAACCCATGCCTTGAGTCTTAGGATGGCATCTCCCAAATGATGCCTAGAAACTGAACCAAAGACACCATGGCTGCAGGAGGTGTCACAGCGCAGGCTGCTCCAGGGTCCCTTGTGGCTAAGGCTTCCCATTCTGCTCTACCCCACATGTTCCTTCTCTCCTGCAGGGCGTCGGCACAGATGAGAAGTGCCTCATTGAGATTTTGGCTTCCCGGACCAATGAGCAGATGCACCAGCTAGTGGCCGCATACAAAGATGGTGAGATGGGCGGGGATGACACTCAGACTGCAAGGGTGGGGACACTGAGACTACCCATCCCCCTTCCCCCTGGCCTATCCATCCCTCTGACCATCAGTTATCCACCCACTCACCCATCTATCCACCCATCCTTCATCATACTGCCCATCCATCCAGCATCCGTCCATCTATTCTCTCATACGTCCATCCACCCCTCATCCATATCTGTCACCCATCAACCCATCCATCCATCCATCATCCATTCCCTCATTCCCCACCCATTCACTGTCTACCTACCATCCATCATCTATCAACCCATCATCTATTCATCCGTCTATCTACCCATTGTCCATCTGCCCACTGACCCATCCGTCTGTCTGCCCATCCATTTACCACCTACCCATCCTTCTATCCATCATCTACCCACCCATCTATATACCATTTATCCATCCATCCATCACCCATCTAACTTCCTGTCCATACTACTCATCAATCCATCTATCCACCCATCCATTTACTCATCCATATCTATCTTCCCATCCATATATATCTCTATATCTATCCACTGTCCTTCTGTCTGTCCATGCGGTAAGTACCTGTTCTGTGCTGGACAGTGTACAGGTTCTCAGGAGATGGTGATAGATAGAAGCAATGTAGTCTCTATATCTGGAACTTGTAGCCTTGTGATATAACAGTGAGTCTCAGAGAAAAATAACAATGACACGGTGGTCAGATTTTACAAAGGAAATGAACAGGAACCAGACATTCCCAAGAGAGGACCTATGTCAGAAAACCTGTCTCAGGAGGAAGTGAGGAACTTCTTGTATGGAGAATGGGGTGACAGATGGTCCTTCTGGCAGAGGGAACAATGGTGTATAGAGCCCTGTGCAGCAGTAAGTTAGGTGGCCCAGATGAGGCTGGAGAGGACTTTGTAGGCAACAGAGCACTGGTGTTTTGCTCAGAGTCCAGCAGCAAGTCAGTCGTGTTGGAATCAGATATGAACTCTATGACAGTTGTTTTGCCGCTGTGGGTAGAAGACCCCTCTGCCCAGGTGAGGATGATTATGCAGTAGGATGATACAAGGGGATGGAAGGAGGAAGAATACACTTCCTAGTATTCTAGTACTAGTGGCTAGAAAGAGGCTCTTGGCCATAGTAGCCATGCAGACTGGATTGGGGTTTATACAATAGCCAATCATATGGGGGCAGGGGGGACAAAAGACCTCAGTTCTGGATCCTGGAGGTTTTGGGGGGATGAGACTAGAACCCTTGTGTTCCTTCCACAGCCTATGAGCGAGATCTGGAGTCTGACATCATTGGAGACACTTCCGGCCACTTCCAGAAGATGCTGGTAGTACTGCTCCAGGTGGGTCTATGTGCAGACGTGTGCCCCTCCCTACAGCTCGCCCCATGGGAGTCACAGGCTCCTTTCACTGATTCTCAAACAAGCGGCCTAGGAGGACTACAGGGTGTAAGGGCCTCCTCTAGCCGTGCCTCCATCACTGCCCATCCCCATTTCTTTCATCCTTTGGAGCCTGAGAGGCCACTCTGAAGCCTAGGCTTTGTCTGCTGGTCTACCCTTGTCCCAATGCCCTGCGTGACACAGGCTGTGCCCTATGGAGACAAATGCCTCATTCACATCCTCCTTCCTCTCCTCTAGTACCTGCACAGGGAGGGATCTGCCTGCACTGCCTCCCCTCTGCCAAGCTCTAATCCTCCAGCTCACTGGAGGGCCTCTAAGGAGGCTATAAACTATGCTGCCATGACCAAATCCAGCCTGCCATGTTGGGTTGCTTTTTCTTTCATTTTTCTACATGAAAACAGCCAGACATGATTGTGTGTGCCTATAATGCCAGCATTGGATGGGTGGAGACAAGAAGATGAACTCAAGGAGAGCTACATGTGACCTCAAAACACAAAACAATGGGGGCCGGAGAGATGGCTCAGTGGTTAAGAGCACTAGCTGTTCTTCCAGAGGACCTGGGTTCAGTTCTCAGCCCCCACATGGGGCATCTCACAACTGCATGGAACTCCAGCTCCAGGGGATCTGACCGGATACCCTTTTCTGATCTCTGCACACGCCTGCACTCATGTGCTCGCACCCACTTAAACAGTCGAAATCATATATACATAATTACAATCTTAAAGAGCAGCTTTATGTTTATTAATAATACCCAGAAATGGAAAGATCCTACCCAAAAGCAAGATTTCTGTATTCTTTTGATTCGTAGAAACTATGCATATATGCAGTGGCTGGAGAGCCTACCCTGCTCTGTCTTCTGTCTGCTTGGCCCTATGAAAATCTGTGACCACAGACACCCAGGGGACAAGCATTGTTGTGACTGAAATGCAGCCCCAAGGTGCAAACTGTCTGAAGCTTTGCACACGAATCAGACCGCCTCTGTTCCTTCTTGTCAATCCCTTCCCCATTATATAGCGTTTTCCCCAGTCCACCCCCACCTTACCATAGCAGCCTATACTCCATGTTAACAAGCCAGGTAGTTATCAGGATTGGGCAAGTGTGACCTTTGCCCCCTTTTCAAAGCTACGTGTTCTGGAGAGGAGATTCCTGCCCCACATCCTGGAGTCAGGGATGTTGCCTTCACATCTCAAAAGTAAGTCACGTGGCACTGATTGTAGGCTTGCTGACTCTGCCACTGTCCCCGAGAGAGCTGAGGGCTGTGAAACCCTAAAACACACAGCACCAGAGGAAGAGGCCAGCTTCAGACCCTGGCATTGCTGGGAGTAAAGCCCAGCATGGCTAGTCCAGTTCCCATCAAGTACCTTCCCGTTGCTAAGCTACTCTATTGGGTGGGGCCCAGGACCTGGGCAGTGCGATAAAAGAATCAGGAAAACTGGTATTTTGCAGCTTGAGCATTCAGACCTTAGGATGCAAGTCACAGATCCTCATGGGTAAATTCTTGGGTAAGGGGGATGGGAGACCCTGGTATTAGCACACAAATGTGTAGCTCTAGGTGGGACATGATTGTATGCCTAGAATTCCAGCACTTGAGAGGTAGAGGCAGAAGGTCCAGTGTACGTTCTAGGCAACCTGGCCTACGTAGTAAGTTCTGGGTCAGCCAAGACTATATATATAGTGAGATCCTGTATCATCCTTTACCCCTTGGGCATTGTCATGAAGTGGCCTGGAGAATGCCAGGACCTGTGGCCTTGCCATCTAAAGCTCTGTCTACAAAGTGCAGGACTTTTGTCTGCCGCCCTGGGATGGAGGTATCAAAGGACCTCAGTCATTCCCAGGACTCCTGTTTGGTCAGGGAGAGGCTCCCTACAACTCTCTACAAAATGAACACTGGGCTTTTCTCCTGTTCAGTCGCTCTCCTGGGCCAACCCCTGGCTCCATACATTGGGAATACACACTTCCTTGTCTCTCCACCCAGGGAACCCGGGAGAATGACGATGTTGTGAGTGAGGACTTGGTCCAGCAGGATGTCCAGGTAAGCGATGTTGATGAAGGTCTCTACGGCTCAGTCAGGAGCCTTATGGAAGGGGAGCGATCAGGGGCCTTGTGGTCGGGTAAGGGTGAAGTCTTTTATATCAAGCACCAGGAATCCCTGAATCACACACAGCTTGTTTTTTTATAGGATTTCATCAGAAAAAGAGATGCAGGTTTATTTTAGAGGTAGCATGTATGAATGAAGTCAGAGAGTGTGTTGAAGCAAAATAATAATTTGTATTTGAACCCCAGCAGCCATGTAAAAAGTTGAAGACACTGCCTCAAAAAACAAACAAACAAGGGGACCATTTCTAAGAAGCAAAACCCAAGGTTGACCCTCTGATACCCCTTCACACACCCAACACACACACGTAGAAAGACGAGATTTTGGGAGCTTTGGAAAGGGAGAGAAGGAAAGAGCCATCTGACAGACCACAGGGTTATTTTTGGAAGAAGCAAGGGGATGTCTGATTCATCAGTGAAGGTGGAATGGGAGCTTCCACAGACAGGAAGATGGGAAGAAAGGTCAAGAAGTCACCAGTAGCTGCCCTGTCCAGGATCAGGCAGTTATTCTGCGCCTGTCCTGTCTCCCTGGGTTTGTTCTTTCTGTTATGTCTCCCTCTCTTCTTCCTTCTCAGGACCTGTACGAGGCGGGGGAACTGAAATGGGGAACAGATGAGGCCCAGTTCATCTATATCTTGGGAAACCGTAGCAAACAGCACCTCCGATTGGGTGAGTTCCCAAAAACTGCAGCACCTCCTTGGGTGGCCCTGAGAACCCCTTCCTCTTTTCCTTTTCTACTGATGGTACACAAGAGCCACTTGATCTCCAAACCAGATACTAGCCCCGTTGTGGGTTGTGAGGTTCCTTACCTGAGTTATTACCAGGACAGTACTAGTAACCTTGTCTCAAGATAGAGACCTGTATAGCAGACACGACACAACTCTGTCACCTCCCAGCCACCATACCGAAGTGCCAGCCCCAGCCTCCTGCTAATGTTTGATTCTTGGCTATTTCTCCATCCCCTCCAAAAGTCTGTGGTCTTTTGTTAATGCTGTTAGATGGCATGGCATGTCTGTCTGTCTGTCTCCCTTAGTGTTTGATGAGTATCTGAAGACCACGGGGAAGCCCATCGAAGCCAGTATCCGAGGGGAGCTGTCTGGAGACTTTGAGAAGCTGATGTTGGCTGTGGGTATGTACTGGAGGCCACAATGGAGTCGGGGATGTCATCCCAGAAGTAAGGGGATTGGAATGAAAGGGATTCCCATGGGGTGGAGTTAGAGAAAAGCAGGTGGTAGACTAGGCTTGGTTGAGCAGCAGGGCTAAGGCTGGGGATGGGGAGGAACTCAGCCATAGACAGCGATGTCCTGTGTGATGAGGGTAGAAAACACTCACTTTAGGTTGAGCTAAAAGCCATCAAAGACCTTGGAGGGTCTGCATGCCAGGCACCACAGGGTATTGAGTCTTTAGAGGGCAGGGGCCACCCCCGCCATATTGCCACTTAGCAGATGACTAACCTGAGTGCATGGAGACTGAGTCCCTTATCAAGGAATTGCTAGTAATAGATCAGGGTTACCTTGATTGTAAGGGAAGCCAGAAGCTGATGAGTCCAGATTCAAACCCAGGACCTCTCCCTAGTATCCCGCTCAACTGGGATAAGTCACCTTGCCTAGAAGGGCCCTAGTTTTCTCATCTGTTAAATGAAGGCAGAGGGATGACCGGACTTACTTTATCTTTGCCAGTCTGATATTTTAAGAGTTAGCATAGCCAGGCCACGAGTTGGTTAGTTTTTGTTTTGTTTTTGAGACGTGATCTCCTTTAGCCCAGGTTGACCTTGAATTATGAGTCAGCTGAGGCAGGCCCTTGACCACCTACCTACCTCTGTCTCTGCATGTGCGTGAGCACACGCACCACCATGCCTGACTTAGTTGGTGCTGGGGTCTGGGGTCTTTGCCATTGAGCTACATGCCCAGCCTTGTTTTCCTTTTTTATTTATTTATGTACACTGCATGTATGTCTGTATGAAGATGTCAGACCCACTGAAACTGGAGTTAGACAGCTGTGAGCTGCCATGTGGGTGGCCCAGGTCCTCTGAAAGAACAGCCAGTGTTCTTAACCGCTGAGCCATGTCTCCAGCCCTTTTCTTTATTACTTAGTTTTATTTATCTATTTATTTTTATTTTTTAGGCAGAATCTCCTATATCCCATGCTGGCCTCAACTCACCGATCCTCTTGCCTCCATCTCTGGAGTGCTGGGATTATGTGTGCATCACTCCCAACCAACGCACGCACGTACACACACATGCACGTGCGCACACACACACGCACACACGCACACACACATGCACAGGCTTCCCTTGTGTTTAAAGCTAGAGGTACTTTGGGGCTGAGGGCCATTAGAAACCAGGATTCTTCCTGCCTTTGAACGTGGTGGCCCCCAAGGGTTAAGAACAACTGGTAACATGTGTGCAATTCCCATCACTAGGGAAGACTGCAAGTTTAAGGCCTGCCTGGGCTACAAGAGTAAATTTTCCCAGGCAATTTAGCAAATAACTATTTCAAAGTAAAAACGAAAGGGTGTGGGCTAGATCTCAGCTGTAAAGCACTTCCCAGCACACCCAGGTCTGGAAATGGAGGGGAAGGGAAAAGGGAGGGACCTAGTGAGCGAGCCCTATGGGTGCCTTCCCTTTTCTGAGGCATGGGGATAACTACCTTTTCCTCCCCTTCTCCAGTGAAGTGCATCCGCAGTACCCCAGAATACTTTGCTGAAAGGCTGTTCAAGGCCATGAAGGTAAGTAGTCGGGATAGTAAGAATGAGACTGGGGGAGGGTAACCTCTGCCCACGCCCTCAAGACTGCGGGGATTTTACCAAATTCTTGGTGTCCAGTGGCCAGAAAGAGCCTTGATTTTTGTTGCTGCAATAGAATATTGTGACCAGGACTGGGGTAAGGGATATGGGACAAAATAACAAAAAAGACCAAAAAAAGAAAAAAGATTCTGTTCATAAGCAGCTTAGGAGACAAAAGGATTTATTGGCTTCTAAGACACTGTCCATCACTAAGGAAAGTCAGGAAGTTAGGACAGAACTGAGGTGGAAATCATAGGGGATCTGCTTGCTGACTCGCTCAGGTACTTGTTCAGATAGTTTTCAGGAGGACCATAGGATGTGGTCCCAGTGCTCAAGAGGCGGGGCAGGTCGATCTTCGTGAGTTCAAGGCCAGCCTGGTCTACAGAGCGAGTTCCAGGACAGCCAAGGCTACACAGAGAAACCTTGTCCAAAAATCCAATTAATTCATGAATTAATTAATAAGTGAATAAATAAATGGGTGGATAAATAAAGAAAGAAAGCAGAGCCAAGTAGTGTGTCCTTGCGTTCCCACAGCTTGGCTTGGTGGGACAGGAGGATCTATAGTTCAAGGTCTTCCTGAACCTTGTCACAAAAGCACAAAACCAGGCTGGCAGGTAAAGGTTCTTGCTGCCAAGCCCAACACTTTAGTTCAGTCCTTGGACCATCATGATGGAAGGCAAGAACAGACTGCCAAAGCTTGCCTCTGCCTTCCATACACACTCCATGCCATGTGTGTACCCACACATATAAATAAGTGTAATTTTGAAAGGTTTTATGAGTTGGAGAGATGGCACAGTGGTTAGGAGCACTTACTGCTTTCCCAGAGGACCTGAGTTAGGGTCCCAGAACCTGTATCAAACAGCTCACAACTGCCTGGAACGCTAACCCAAGGGATCTCATAGCCTTTCTGTCCTCTGCAGTCACCTGCACACATACAAGTAGATACATGAATGAAAATAAAAATAAATCTTTAAAAAGTTTTAAACCATAAAAATAAGTAACAAACCAGAATATTCCTATGTATATTCCTATGTATATCAGACCACTTTAGAAAACACTTTGGCATCTGTCAGTTAGCTCTCCACATTCATAATGCTGGTCATGTGACCAGGCAGCTGGTTTCCCTCTAGGCATGTTCCAAAGGACGGCATTCCCCAGGCTTTCTCTCATATAACACAGACACCTGTGACATTTCCATGGCAAATGAATGTTTGCTATGGGAGATCCCCAAGCGTGGGCTGTCCCAGCCCCTCTTGGCTACTCCAAAAGTGTAGAGCAGATGGTCAGACATTCGCCATGAGTGCTGTCCCTCATGCCCTCGTGTCCTCCAGGGCCTGGGGACTCGAGACAACACCCTGATCCGCATCATGGTCTCCAGGAGCGAGCTGGACATGCTTGACATTCGTGAGATCTTCCGAACCAAGTATGAGAAGTCACTGTACAGCATGATCAAGGTGAGCAGGGCTGGGGACGAGGTGGGCAGGGGAGCAGAGAAAGCATGGAGGCTGGAGCAATGGCTCAGCTATTAAGAGCACTGGCTGTTCCTGCAGCCAGGTTCAGTTCCCAGCACTCGCATGAGGGTTCACAGCTAACTATAATTCTAGTTCTTGGGGATTATAATGCCCACTTCCGGCTTCCTCAGATACTGTACTCATATGGTACACGAGCATACTTGCAGGCACGCACTCATACATTTAAGTAAAAGTAAAGAAAACTTTAAAAAGTAAGGCATGGCTGATGCTGCAGGGCTTGCAAATAGTCTTTAAGGGCCAGGGTGCTGTCCCAAGAGCAGCAGGTATCCACAGTCTATGCAGAGTTCACGGAAGCATCCAAGTGAGCATTAATTAGAAAACACTAGAGTCTGCTGAGTAATTGGTGCTATCTCAGGGGTGGCCGTCCCATGAGGCCTTGCCAAGAGATCACCAGACGTAGTAGTTTTTATAAGCCCACAGGGGAAATGATCCAATTTGTACTCATAAATGGTATCCAGAGAGGATTTTTATGGGTATCATGCCCTGGACGTCCCATGGGGAAATAAGTTTGGAAAATTCTAGAATAAGCAACGATGCTGTTGCACAGGGTCTTTTCCTGGGAACCTCTCATAGCCGTTAATATTCCAAAGTCTCAAGGAATAAGACATCTATATCGTCATGTGGCTTCATCAAATGGTTGTTTGACTTTGAGCGGTTTCCCATGGGTTTGTTCATGGAACTGCCCTTCCATGGACTGTTTCCCCTGGATGTGCTGCACCTGGGACAGGGGAATGCCGGGGGTCACGGAGAATAGCAAGCATCTGGGAATTCCATGTTTTAATGACATCAGCATGGCAGCGGATGGCTATTACTGGAAGTATTTATGCCTCAGGAAATGTGACGGACGACCTACTCTAGAGACTTGTTCCTTCCCGTCTTTCCCAGAGCGCTGATTGCTGGATCGGTGACCCGCACTGTACTGCTTGGTGGCCTCAGCCACTGCAGGCAGGAGGAGAGGCAGGGCTGGTGTGAGTGAGTGCTCTGCCCACCCCCACTTGTCCCAGAAGAGCCGGGGCTGTGTCCGAGGTCACCTTTCCTCTTCTCTCCCCAGAATGATACCTCGGGCGAATACAAGAAGGCTCTGTTGAAGCTCTGTGGAGGAGACGATGAGTAAGGGGGTTCAGGGCCTCAGGGTGGAAGGGTGGCCTGACTCTTCTGGTGACCGTCCCCAGTAGATGGGAGATTACATGACTCTGGGTCTCTTCTGAGGCTGGAATGCCAGACGAAGGGAAAAGCGGCTTTTGGCCTTCCAGTCTCTGCTGTCATGGTGTGTGTGTGTTGTGTGTCTGAACAGGTAGAGTCCACTATATGTGGAACTCTCTATTGTGTGAATTTAGGAGTCAGTCGGCTGTCTGGACCAGGAATTAGAACTCAGAGGACGTAAGCTGGGCATGGTGGCACACACCAGAGGCAGGCAGATCTCTTGTGAGTCCAGCCTGGTCTACATAGCAAATCCCTGGCCAGCCAGAACTGCATAGTGAGACCTTGACTCAAAAGAGCCGGAGAAGAAGGTCTGAGGAGTCACCTCTAAGAAGGCCTGGTGATGAGGATTGACTTGGCTTCTTCCTGTGACCAACAATGCTTTCTGTGGAAAGCTGCTGCAGGGGCCCTTCCTGAACTATTAAACTAGGTGACTATGTCAGGACATGACCTATTTATACACAGGAAATTGTGGGTGCTGTGACTTCCTTCTCCAGAGTTCAATGGCAAGTTAAAGAAGGGATATGAGAGCTTCCCATTGACTATGCTTGGGCCACAGAGGCCACAAATCCCGTGCTGCACACACTGGCCCCTCACATGTCCAGGTGCCTTGAAAAAAGAGGTATGGGAATGATTCAACCATACCCTACCCTTGGCTTATTTGAGAGGGGATTTGAGACAGGAGGCACCTGTGCAATACGGAAGAAAGAAGAGATTGAGGGACTGTCCTGCTGCTGGGGAAAGCCCCACTGCATAGGAGCTCAAGGGAGGACAGAAGAATCTCTGGACTAGAGGGTTTTCTGATGAACTCAGGCTGGAGAAGTAAAGCCAGATAGGTCTGTGTTGTGTTAGGGGTGTGTGTGTGTGTGTGTGTTGATTGTATGTGAGTATTGGACATAAGAGTGCTGGACATGTGGGGTGTTGCCCATGATGACATTCCCCTCCCATCCTCTCCCCGAACCCCTCCATTCCAGTGCGGCTGGCCAGTTCTTCCCGGAGGCAGCACAGGTGGCCTATCAGATGTGGGAACTTAGTGCAGTGTCCCGAGTCGAGGTCAGACCCTCCCCATTCCCTGCTTGACCTCTTTGATCACTGCCTTCCACACTTCTGCTTGTGCCTTTCCCGCTGAGCTGGTTGACCCCCAGCTGCCCCCTGGTGGCCAACCCGCGCTGAGCCGTCTTCCACCTGAAGCTTCCAGATTCCTGCCTTGGTTCTAACGGTCCTGGGAAGTGTTTGTTCCGCCTGCTCTCTACTAACAGGGCTTCCTCCAGTGAGACTGGGCTGGTTCCGTGGGGGCCTCTACATCCTGGGCCTGGCAGCTGGGCTTCGCATACTGAGCTGCCCTCGGTAGAGCAGAGGGTACCCCTAGGATTCAGGGGTGTACTCCTGAGCACCCTCATATGGGCGGGGGCAAAGGACAGGATGAAAGGTTTCACAGAGGCTCCTGGAAAACCAATCTAGACACTGTTGGGTCCTCACCCTCCTTGTGCCCTCTATGCCTGAACCTTTCAAGAAAGGGGGTTATACATGGCGGTCCTGGTGGCCCAAAGGCTCTTGAAGTCTGATGCTCTACTCTCCCTTAAATTTGAAGGTGAACACTAGCCCTGCAGGAGACCTCAGGTTATATATATGCTTCCCACAGCATTAAGTAACAACCACCCTCACAAAGAGCTGCCCCTTTTCAGTTCCACCAGCCTTTCTGATAAGTAAAATCAGCTTGGTGCTGTCCGAGGTGGCTGCCCTTAGACACAGAGGCCTTAAGTTCAGTGCTTTTGGCAAGACCTGATGCTGCAACTGTGTTGTACAAGCTGGCGGCCCTTTTATAACATAGAGAGCCGAGGGAGCTGGCCTAAAGTTCTGTGGTCTTGGCAAGCAGTACTGTCTTAAATTTGGTGACCTTTAACCTGAGTGGAGCCAGGCACTACATTTATTGTTGTGGGTGATCACCTGTTAATGACATAGGATACATTTTTTCTAGATTGCGATAGTACATAAAGTATAAAGTTATTTTTATCTCAAAGCTAGGGATATAGCGCAGTAGTAGAGTGGTTGCCTAGCAAGCAGGAGGCTTTCAGCTTAATTGCCATCATGGAAGAATATCTTTTCACCGATTTATTAATGTGTTAAGTATTTTTTTAAATGTCCATTATGTGGCAGGCACTTGTTAGCACAAAGGATATAAAAAAAGTATATATATAAAAGTTTAAGCTGCCGGGCGGTGGTGGCGCACACCTTTAATCCCAGCACTCGGGAGGCAGAGGCAGGCGGATCTCTGTGAGTTCGAGGCCAGCCTGGTCTACAAGAGCTAGTTCCAGGACAGGAACCAAAAGCTATGGAGAAACCCTGTCTCGAAAAAAAAAAAAAGTTTAAACATGGTGGTGCATGCCTTTAAACCCAGGGCTCAGAAGGCAGAGGCAGCTATCTATAAGTTCAAGACCAGCCTGGTCTAGCTAAGTGTACTTCAAGATAGATCTGCCGGTGCTGAGATGTTGCTTAGTATGTTAAGCACCCCTTCCTCAAATTATTCTAAATAAAACTGTTTAAGCAAAGATCGGGTGTGATGATGCCCACTTTATTACCAACATCCAGGAAGACAGAGGCAAGCAGATCTCTGAGTTTGAGACCGTGCTGGTCTCTTTAGGGAGTTCCAGACCAGGCAGAGCTACTACATAGTGAAACCCTGTCTCTATACAAAATAAAACAACAGTAAAACCCAAAAACCACTGAAGCGAAATTAAAAGAAAGAAATTAAGAAATAGCAAATACAGGAAGCAGCATGAACGTCATTGGGTAATGACTAAAATTTGGAAACTATTCTGCTTCTGAGTCCTTTGGCCTCCTTACGGAGGAGCCATGTCTACATCAGCATCGGGGCACCAGGGCAGGGTGGGTGGGATGCTGAGGGGCCCCAGTGGAATGGTCAGCCTCTGAAGCTGGGACTGAGCCAAGTCCGACTGCAGGAGCTACCCTCTTTCCTGTCCAGCACTCACCTGTTTCCGGGCCTGAGACTCTCTGCTCTCTCAGCCCTGAGTGGGCTTTGTCTGCTATGCCTTCTTCCCCAGGCTGCTTGGCTTGGGACTCAGCCTGGAAAGCCCCTGCCACTCTGCATGCCCCTCTCTAGATCTGACTCCCCAGGGGCTTCCAGACACCTGCTGAGCCTCATTCTCCTTCTCACAGCTGAGGGGTACTGTGTATGCAGCCAATGACTTCAACCCTGATGCTGATGCCAAGGCCCTGCGGAAAGCCATGAAGGGAATTGGTAAGGATGATGAGGACCAGAGAAGGCCCATAGGCAGCAGCCTGGAAGGTTTGGCAGCAAGGGGCTAGGCAAAGGGAGGGATGAAGCCTCTAGCTAGGCTCTGCAGGATGAGGAGGAGTGTGTGGGAGCTTCCTCCACCTCAGGTAGGAGGGAAGGATAGGAGAGGGGTTGGAATGAACTTGACCAGAGTCTTTTATGGACACTAAGTGTCTCTCCAGTTTCTGAGCAGGAGCCTGATGTGGAAGAAAGTACTGGCCATGAAACTTTAGGTGTTGACTCGGTGTGACTCTGGATAAGTCCTTAAACAGCTCTGGGTCTCACTTTCCCAGTGTGTAAAATGAAGTCCATTGACCTAAGAACTCAAAGCACCGCAACTGTTGGCTCCTCCAGGCTGCGTTTGCTCACTGTGGGGAGAAAAGCCACTGTATGAGTGGATGGCCAGCTGCCTGCACCCAGCTGGGTCTGGAAAGCCCTTGCTGGGAAAGGGAATGGGGGGTTGGTTTCTGGTGTCTTTCCTCCTCCCCTATACCCAGCAGCTACTCCCAAGAGGTCCTGCACCTCCTGGGTCTCAGTGAATTCTTCTCAGGAGAGTAATTCCTACATAGCGTCTCTATGACTGTGAGACTATGGGGGCAAATGCTCTGAAAATTAGATCCCTGTGTCAGACCTGAGGTTGGTGGCACTCACCTGACAGGCAGGAGGTAGTGCTGCAATGCCTTCAGCCAATCTGCTGTACATAGAGGGACCTAGGAGCCACCATCAGACACAGTCACTAACTGCTGAGAACACAGGGTTAGAAGGATCTCTTGGTGGTTACTTGGTCCTGTTCATGTTAGAAGTGTGGAAACTGAGTCCCAGAAAGAGAAAGGACCTTCCCAAGGTCAGCAGCCATTGCCAGAGCCAAGATTAGAACTCAGAGGCTCTGGCACCCAACACATCACTTGTCACCCCACCTACCAACCAGATGCTCATCACCCATTGCCTTCCACCTTCCTGGATGTCGTTTTATCTCATCCAGTGGCCCGACAGGAGAAAGCAAGGAGCCTGGGGCAGGGATCCCAGAAGGGCCAGGAGCACATGGCCACCAACCCAGGCCTTTACCCTGACAGAGACTGGTGGGAACTCTCATTGGGGGGATGTTGGGAAAGCTGAGCCACAGAGCCTCCTCTGAGGCATGTGGCTTTGGTGATCCAGGAACTGATGAAGCCACCATCATCGACATCATCACACACCGCAGCAATGCCCAGCGGCAGCAGATCCGACAGACCTTCAAATCTCACTTTGGCCGGGTAAGGGTCCTCCCTCCCTAGTCTGGGCCTCAGATCTTTACACCTCCCTAGAGAACCTCAGCCTGTCAGTGCCAGCTCTGTGTAATTAGACTCCAGGGGGGTTCATGGTAATGAGACCTCCACCTGGTCTCGGAATGTTCTAGCCTCCGGTCACTCTGTTCCCCTAGTTCCTTGTGATCAGCGAGCGTTGTGTGTATGGGATGGCTTAGTGGGGGCACAATCAAAGATGGGGGCAATTTCTATGTGGTTCGGAGACTGGTGTGACCTTGGCTTTGTCCTTGCAGGATTTAATGGCTGACCTGAAGTCTGAGATCTCGGGAGACCTGGCAAGGCTGATCCTGGGTCTCATGATGCCCCCAGCCCATTATGATGCTAAGCAGCTGAAGAAAGCTATGGAGGTACAGTGTACACACTAGGGGATGGGATGGGGTGGGTACTGGTACTCAGGGTCAGCACCGCAGTGGACATGTCCTTTGCGTGGACTTTCCAGGGAGCTGGCACAGATGAAAAGACTCTTATTGAAATCCTGGCTACTCGGACCAATGCTGAAATCCGGGCCATCAACGAGGCCTACAAGGAGGGTAAGTGTGAGAGGGTGGGGCCCAGCTGACAGTATTAGCCCACAGCCCTGACTTACCACCTCCGTGACGCTGTTTGTGTGCATGCAGGGATACGTGTATTGATGGAGACCAGGTTTCGGTCTCAGGTGTGTCTTCAGGTACCATCCACCTTATTTTATTTTTTATATGTTGTGTGTGCATGCGCATGCATGCACACATGCATGTGTAGGTCAAAGGACAACTGTGAAGTCCATTCTCTCCTACTGTGTGGGTTCCAAGAATTGAACTCAGGCTTGATTGGTCATCAGGCTTGGCAGCAAGCACCCTTTCCTGCTGACCTTGCTTTTTGAGACAGGGTCTCTTACTGGCCTAGGGCTGGCCAGTTTGGCAAGGCTGATGGCTAAGGAAGCCCAGCTTCCGTTCTTCCCATCCCCAGCTGTAGGATGGCAAGTGTGCACTACTGTGCCTGTTTGGTTTGGTTTTGGGAACGTGGGTCCTCATGCTCATGTGACACGCCCTTTACTGACTGTGCGTCTCCGCAGCCCTTCTATGGGACTTCAACAAACCTCTTAGTGTACCTAGCCCCCCATCTCGGGAAAGTCAGCTGCCCCAAGAGAGTCCTGGTTGTAGAAGACAATTTAGATAGAATTTGGGGAGCAGAGAGAGCATTTAGCCTGCTAATGAGAGGGAGGGCAGCTTCACGGGAACGGGGCCTGAGTAGTTACACAAAGACCCACCCTCAGAACGGTCTCCCCTGCCTTGTTATACCCTATGCCATACTGTGATACTATTGCAATTGAAGGAGTTCCCACGGCACTACATTGTCTTGAAACTGTTAAGCTTCAGTCAAGTGGCCCTATATTTTCATTCTGAAACACTATGACTTCTGTTCTAGGAACAACTTTCCTCTTGCAGAGCTTTGAGACCACAGTCATTTTAAGTGGGGGAGGAGAGGCACTAAGGTCCCAGATAAAATTTGGGGTTCAGTGAGTGCTGTGTAAGAGGGATGGTGGAGAGTGAGGGAAGGCGGGGAGGTTCCACTGGAAGGTGTCGAGGGCGGGGGTGTGTGTGTGGGGGGGTTATAGCTCTAGAGCCCTGCTTAGCATGCACAAGGTCTTGGGATCACTTCCCAACAATACAACCAAATGAATGGCCAGTGAATGGGAGAGATGAATGGGAGCTTTTGGGAGCTGATGCAGGTGTGGGGAGGGGCAGGTATCAGTACCAGCCGCCCTCCCATCAGCAGGAAGATAGCTGGATGCCCTCAAGGGCCGACTCGTTCAGTCCCACCTCCTGCTGACACAGCCCTCGCTCAGGTGTGACTCTCACTCTCCTGGCCAGCAGCTGCTCACACCTTTCTTCCTATCTCAGATTATCACAAGTCCCTGGAGGATGCCCTGAGCTCAGACACATCTGGCCACTTCAGGAGGATCCTCATTTCTCTGGCCACGGTGAGTGAATTTATGGCTCTGAGGCCCATTCATCCATGGACTGTAAGAGAGAATGCCCCCACACCCACTCCCACCCCCTTGCCTCCTGGGGTTCTGCCTTAAAATCTCTATTGTTTCCCTTTTTTGTTGTTGGTTTTGTTTTGTTTTATGACAGGGTTTCTCTGTGTAACCCTGGCTGGCCTCAAACTCACAGAGATGCACCTGCCTCTGCCTCCCACGTGTCGGGATTAAAACCGTGCTCCACCACCACCCTGTGAGAATCCATTTTTGATGGCTGGTGTTGTAACTTTTTTGGTCTCTTTCATATAGACCAGAACCACATGGGTGGCTCTGTCCTGTAACCCAGGGACCACGTGGCCTACCCTGGAATTGTTTCATGTTGTAAAAGATGAAAAGGGGTGCAGAGAGGTGACTGAGCAAGACCTACGGGTGACTGTAGGGTGCCTGTGGGGGATGTTTAGGCCTGACTTCTCGATGGTCCTATGACAGGGAAATCGCGAGGAAGGAGGAGAAAACCGAGACCAAGCCCGGGAAGATGCTCAGGTGAGATTCCCGCCCATCTCTACTGGACAGCTGGCGGGTCCCTGCCAGGAATGACTCTCAGGTGGGGCAAGATCCTGGCTGGGACATGGCTGGTTTGACTGACATGTTTAGGTCTACTCTACAAAGCGAATGCTCGAGGATTTATAGTGTAGGGTGGGAGGGTGGAGCTTGCTTGCTGGAGGGTGGGAGGGTAGAGCTTGCCTCCCTGGCCCTTCCCATGTGGAGTCTGGGACCTTCAGCACTATATGGCATTCATAGATCGCCCGGGTCAAACCTCTAAGCCTGCAGTGGGAAATGGAAGTCCAAGAGGGTGACTGGTTTCTCAAATCACACAGCAAATCTGGCCCAAGGAGAGCTGACCCAGAGAGAGTGGGTTTGGAATCTTGCTGTGAAAAAGGCCTGAGAACCAAATGTCTAGATTTCCTGTCTGAAAAATGAGGCAAAAATCAAAGGGGTGACTTGGCAAACTTTAGCAAGCTCCTAAAGGCTGGTGCCACTGTCCCTCACTGATGATGTATCCCAGGTACCCTGTGTCCAGTGATGCCTAGATACTACCAAATAGTGGCAGGGGAGGGGGTCACCAGAGCTCCTGGCCACTCCGCTTCTTAGGCTTCTCTGAAGCTGCACTTAGAGGCTGGGCAGCCCCAAGTCATTTTCCTGAGCCCCCACTGAGGTCCTCACTGTTGTCCCCATGGACCTGAGTCAGGTCTCTGTCTGTTCTGACTGCCCTAACCCCATCTGCTGCAAGAGCTGCCCCATGCTGGAGCTGGGCACAGATGCCACCAATGGTAACGCTAGCATCCAGGGATTGCAGTTGGTCACTAGAAAGAGCATTGACCAACCCAGAGTCCCAGCTGAGCCCCAGCTTCACCAGCGGACAGGAGCTGAGACACCAGTGTCAACTCAGCAATCCCTAGGATAGCCTGACAAAACTGAAATTGCAAAAATTAGGCACACCCCAGCAGTGGGAGGAGCTGAGGCCGGAAGAGCAGGAGCCTAGCCTTAGCTCAGGGAGGCCCTGTCTCCAAAAGAACAACACAAAACCCCAAAACCCCCAAGCCCTTGTTACAGAGTTTAGAAGGGGCGCCCTGTGTTGAGCAGGCATTAATGCTCCTCTGTGTACCATCTTGTTTTTCCTGCGAAGAAAAAAAGCCTTAACAGGCCCACAGTTTCTGAGTGGCTTCAGTTTGATTGGCACTCAGGTCCACCCGACTCCAATCTGGCTTACACAATACCCTCTAGGACCCAGCACCATCATCTCCCATACAGCTCCTTGCTCAAGAAACCATGGCCCAGTTGCCCAGTCCTGTTCTGGAATTACAATGTCAGAAGCTCCAGGATCCCAGTCAAAAGGATGTTTTCAATTATATACAAGTACATTCATAGGCGCTAACCATGGGTAACCCCACCATCGTTTACTGAGCCCACATTTCACACACACACACACACCCAGCAGGTATTTATTTAGTATTTGTGAGCATCCTCATGGTGTAGCAGGGGGGCTTTTAATCTTAGATTTCACCAGCATCCGTTCTCTAGGGAATGCAGCTGCCTGGTACCTGCTCTGCCTTGGGTCCTGGTGGGGCAGTGGTGGTCCTGGCCCAGCAACTGCTTTGCAAGAGAAGGAGAGAGAGAGAACCAGGGTAGAGGCAGTGGAGGGATCCTTTGAACCAGAGCCCTGCATTGACAGAGGCTTGGCAGCTTCTCCGTGAATAAGGCGCAGATCCTGGTACAGCGTCAGCTCAGTTTCTGACAACTAGCAAGGTTTTATCTCTTCCATAAAACTTTAGAAAATAGAGCCAAAGGAAAAAAACCTACCCCCCCCCCCATAGTCATCACTTAATATAGTTATTCAAATCGGGCTTTCTTTTTGTATATATAAATAGTTTCCTGTTTATAGCAGTTAAAATAAGATGGGCAGAATAAACCTCTCCTGTAAGTCCAGCAGAGCCTCCCTGCAAGTTCAAGCCCAACCTGTTTTGCATAGTGAGTTTCAGGACTCTATCAAAAGCACTATTGAAAGAAAGAAGCGGGAAGGAAGTGGCCTATAGCGGCTTTCAAAGCCAGTTCTCTCCTCCCATTTTACAAAGGCAGTGTCTCTCCTGTTCCACTGCTACTGGCCTTGCAAGCTTTCTCCAGCTCTCACTGGAGTGTTGGGACTACAGATGTGCTTGAGCGCGCGCGCGCGCGCGCACACACACACACACACACACACACACACCCCACATGAGCTCCGGGAATCAAACTCAGCAGGTGCTCCTGGCAAGTGCTTTGGCTGAGTCCTCTCCCTGGCTCAGTTAGTCATTCTTCCGTGGCATCCAATGCATTCACACTGCACAGCCATCGCTGCTACCCCGCCCCCAACCGCTCTTCTTTTAACAAAACTGAAACTCTGAGCCCATGAGCTAGTGGTTCCTCGTTTCCTCTCCCTCTACCCCAGAACAGCCTGCCTTCTGTCTCTGGATTTGACGCCTCTGCAAACATCACCTTAGGGACTTGTGTGCTCGTAGCTGGCTTACTTCACTCCGCACAATGCCCCCCATGACTCAACGAGGTGATTGAAAGTATTGAAAGCCCCGAGTAGCCCATAAGCCTTAAACGAGGATCATCATTGCCTGACATTTAAAGCAAAATGAAATTAAGTATTTCTGCAATGAGGAATATGATCGTAAAGTTCCAGGGTGGGTAAAGGAGCTGCCTAACTCTGGCCTCATGCGGTAGACACTTGAGAGACACATCGTCCGTGTAGTTACCTCCTGGTGACTATGAGTATCGTTTTCATCTAGATAAAAAAAGCACCAGTATATACAATACATATGCACATATGGACTTAATGTAAATCATATAAAGAAGTCTTGTTTTTATGATGCTGTGGTTCAAACCCAGGGCCTTAGAGCTTCTCCACTATCTCAGTCATAATTTTTTCTTTTTAATGTGTGGGCGACGGTGGCGCACGCCTTTAATCCCAGCACTCGGGAGGCAGAGCCAGGCGGATCTCTGTGAGTTCGAGACCAGCCTGGTCTACTGAGCTAGTTCCAGGACAGGCTCCAAAGCCACAGAGAAACCCTGTCTCGGAAAAAAAAAAAAAAAAAAATGTGTGTGTATGTGTTTCCTTGAGTACATAAGTGCAGTGCCTGCAGAGGCCAGAAGAGGGCAGCTTCTCCCCTGGAGCTGAGATTATGGGCAATTGTAAGCCACCTGGCGTGGGTGCTGAGCGCCAAAGCCAAGTCCTCTGATAGAGCAGTGCCTGCTCTTATCCACAGAACTTTCTTTCCAACCCCCTTAGTCTTTTTTAAAGCTCCGTGGGACCTTGAACACGGTGGCATCTTCTGTAATTCCATAACTCAGAAGGCAGAAGCAGGATTGCTGGGCATTTAAGGCCTACCTGGGCTGCTATAGAGTGAGACTTTGTCTTCAAAGAGAGGAAGGAAAGAAGCCAGGTGTGGTGCTGCACACCTGTAATCCCAGCACTCGAGAAGCAGAGGCAGGCAGATCTCTGTGAGTTCCGGTCCAGCCTGGTCTACGTAGTGGATTCCTGGCCAGTCAGGGCTACATCGTGAAACCTTGTCTCAAAACTAAATAAAGACTAGAATCTTGGTCTGTGCAGGAGAATACGACGGTTGGCAGGATGCTGGGGAAAGGGCTAAGGTGGCAGACAGTTCAGACGCATGGAGACTAGCTGGATTTGTTCCCAGACATTCTGGGTTAGAGCATCTTGGCTCACAAAAGTCCTGGCCACAATGTCTGCTCCACAAGCTGTTCTTAAGGAGAATGTTCGTAGTGCCCACCTACGCTGTGTGCCCGTGACTCCCAGACCTCAGCTGTCCTGCCTTTCTGTCTGTGACCTGGGGAGCTAAGGTGACAGAGCCTGATACCGATTCACTTCCGAGAATCTGTGCCTGTCCCGTCCCCTGCCCAGTGGCTCTGTAGGCTAGCGAAGGGGGCTTTCCTTCCTCTAGATGTCAGACAAGCTGGGGCCTGCAGGCTATTCTCGGGTACTGGGTATAAAGGGTGTCATTCTCCTTCTGGGAAGCTACATTTTAACTATTCTCAATGGGTGGTGGTGGCGGCACACACCTTTAATCCCAGCACCTGGGAGACAGGGGCAGGCAGATCTGTGAGTCTGAGCACAGCCTGGTCTACTGAGTGAGTTCCAGGACAGCCAGGGTTACACAGAGAAACCTGTCTCAGAAAAACCAAACACAACACACACAAAAAAAACAAAACCAAACAAACAAATTCCCAGGCCTGTCTTCTGCTCTGAGTTCTAGCCCAGAGGATAGAGGAAGGCGATATCCCTCCCAGTCCTTCACTGTGACCCTGGGGTCTCTCGGGACCTCTGCCACTCTGAGCTAGGCCTTGGGGCTCCAGGGTCCTCTGGCCAGTCACTCCGGCCTCTGACTCTTGCCTCCCCTCTCTCCCTCCTCTCTCTCTTCCCCACTCTCAGGTTGCTGCTGAGATCTTGGTGAGTGTTCTGTTCTTCACGGGGATGTGCCAGCTTCTGAGTCAGCCCTGCTGTGCTGGTGCTGGGCTGAGTGGGGCAGGACTGGGCAATGTCTGGGACCCTCCCTCATGGCTTCTCTCTCTCCCCTTCCGGGCCTTTTAAGGACCCTGGTAGTTTAAAAAGGGCCAGGTGTGATGGTGCATGAATAATCCCAGCACTTGGCAAGTGGAGTTAGGAGGATCAGGAGTTCAAGGCCATCCTCAACTTCCTAGAGAGTTTGAGGCCAGCCTGGGCTACCCGAGACCCTGTCTCAAAAAATGGGAGTTGTTGCAAAGCTAGTGTTCCCCAAGCTTTGGCCATTCATCCATGCCTCTCGGGCCCGCTCTGTGCTGTATAATCACCAGCGATGATTGCTGCCTGTAAACTGGCTCATCTTCATTTTAAAAGTGAGTTTTTAAAAGAGAATGCAAATAGGGTCATAGCTGGCTAGGGCATCTTTGTGGAAACTTATGTGGTAGAATACAAATTTGTTTGCCCTTGACCCCAACTGGGGGAAACTGGCTAGGACATTTTTTGCTTGCTCACACACGTGTCCATGCTCCCCAAAGGGATTGTCTGGTGACTGGGTAAGAGGACCAAGTCCCTGTACCCACCTCCAGCCCCATTTTGGGTCCTGAGGACTTCAAAGAGGGATGGAATGACCATTATGCTTGAGTTGAGGAGAGAGGGGACCAACCTCAATCTCCTCCCCCGCCCCTTCCTTCTCTGAGCCTCAGCAGAGACAGTCGGTACTAACCATGGCTTCTCATGTCTCCCCCTCAATCCTTGCCCTAACTGGGCTCTGCAGGAAATAGCAGACACTCCCAGCGGAGACAAAACGTCCTTGGAGACTCGCTTCATGACGGTCCTGTGCACCCGTAGCTATCCCCACCTCCGCAGAGGTGAGCCTGCAGGAACCCCACCCTTTCCAGTGTGGTAGTGGGAGCCCCAAATCTGACCTGAACCTCCCAGCTCTCTGTGAAGAGCAGAGCAGCTAAGTGCCTAATTCTTTCTTCTCACTCCAGTGGTAGAATGGTAGGGGACTCCAGAGCCCTAGCCTGTCCTCAGCCAACTCCCTTCCCCACCTTACCAAAGCAGGTAGAATACCTAGGATAAGGAAAGACCAGCCAGTTTCACCTCAGAAACGTGCAGTATTAAGGATGCTGAGGTGTGCTGTCGTGGTCCATCGGTGATGCCAGGAACAAAGCAGAGAGGGGTGAGGGTGGCACAGAACAGAACCACAGCTGTGTGCGGTGGCAATCCCAAAGTCCCCTGTCACTGAGACTTTGCTGTCTTGCAAGTATCTGCTCAGTATCTTTCAGTACTCAGATACTTGTTGCTTGATGTTCGGTTGCCTTGACTCCAGTCCCCCACTTACTAGCTATGTGGCTGAGCAGGTGACTGGGTCTCTGTGCCTTAATCCCCTTATCTAAGAATTGGGGTTTTAGTTGTACCTCCCATGGTTGCTAGGATACCAAACCTACAATAAACATTAAGTAATCAGCCTATGCAGGGCACACAGAGCCTCCTGTCATTTTGATTATTATATAATAAGCACCATCCCAGCCAGTCAGGGAATAAGAGGGAACCCAGAGAGGAAGGCCACCTGGGGTGGTCTGGGCATAGTTCCTTTTACACATCAGGCTGGGATAACAGAACTAACTCCCAAGACCTGAGACTATTGGCCAGACCTGGAGGCGCTGATATAGCCTAGTTGGCTCCAAGCTTTAGGGCAGCCCTGAGACCAGAACCTACCTGTCACCCCAGCCTTACCCAATGAACAATGTATGAGATAGGTCAGGTGACTCCCCCAGCTGGCGTTTACCTCCTCCTCTTTCCTCTTGGCCAGTCTTCCAGGAGTTCATCAAGATGACCAACTATGACATAGAGCACGTCATCAAGAAGGAGATGTCTGGGGATGTCAAGGACGCATTTGTGGCCATCGGTAATTGGCAGGCACCAGGGGAAGGGGCTGGGGCATTCCTGGGAAGGTAGGCAGGTTCCCAAGAGGAATGTAGCTTTAGCATCATCCTGTGCTTATGTTACCTGGGACTCAACACTGTCTCAGATCTCCTCCCTGCCAAGGTATGATTGTGGGGGGCAGCCTGAGGACATCTTCAAGGCTTTGGGGACAGGGTGAGAAAAGGGGCTTTCCAGGGAAAGGACCAGGAGAGCAGAGAAGGGTAGTGCTCTGCAGGATTGAAGTGTGTGTGTGTGTGTGTGTGTGTGTGTGTGTGTGGTGTGTGTGTGTTGTATATATTTATATCAATGTATATATTTATATCTATATATATAGAGAGAGAGGGATACCACTCACAAGACACCATATATACGTCCATGAGATTCACAGGATATATATGCATAGCGTGTAAAATGCATTCATTCACAGGGTCCACAGTGCATGTATGCACTGGACACATGTTAAACGTGTTCTCTCATACCACATTCTGCCACTGAGCTACCTCCTTTCTCTGGGATTTTTAGTTTTTTGTTACATGTTATTATTTATTTTGTGTTTGTGTACACATAAATACATGTATACAGGTATGTGCATACCATAGCATGCATGTGGAGGTCAGAGGAAAACTTTAGGGATTTGGTTCTCTCTACTGTGTGGGTCCTGGGGATTGAACTCAGGTCCTTAGGCTTGGTTTCAAGTACATTAGCCTGCTGAGCCAGCTCACAGCCCAAAGATCTTGACTTGGAAAAGGTCTCTTTCCCTTTGGGATCTCATTTCTTGCAGTATGTGTGCATACAAAGCTAAGCATGATATTGCATCCCGTGTATTCCTTATTGTACCAGCAGGTGGCGATAGAAGGCTTTCAGATTCTGTCAACTATAAAATGCATCTTGAATTTCAGGAATTCTGAAATGTGGAGGAGAAGTAGTCTAGATTAGATAAATGGAGGTATTGCTTACAGTGGCTCTTTATCACCGAGAGTGACACCAGACAGGCAGGACAGCACAGTGATTGGAAGCCGGGGAGCTAAGTAAGAACTGCCCCTTGATTGTTGTGTGTCTCTGGGCAGAACACAGGACCTGCCTCAGTTTCTGCACTCTGTGACAGGATATGAAAACTGGTCTTTCTACCCAGTCCTTAAGTGGCACGGAAGTTGTTAACCCCACACACACACCCTACCCCCCCCCCAATGTCGCTGGGATCTAGAGTGGAGTTTAAAACTCAGGTGTTTGGGGGTTTTGGTTTTGGTTTTGTTTTAGGTAATTTTTTGTGACGTGTGTGTGTGTGTGTGTGTGTGTGTGTGTGTACCACATATGTGTGATAACTTGTGAAATCCAGAAGAAGTTGTCGTATCTCCTGGGACTGAAGTTAATAGGCAGCTGTAAGTGACCCAAAGGACATAACGGGAACAAAACTTGAGTCCTTTGGAAGAGCAAAAAGTGTTCTTATCCACTAAGCTCTCTCTCCAGACCCAGAAATTCAGTTTTTAACCATCTTTTCACATGCTTTCAATGTACTTAAAATTGGTGGCCCTGCGTTCAGTATCCTGGAGAGCTTAAATCCCATTTACATATTCTGCTGACCTCAGTCAGCTTCAAGCATCTTCGCTGTAGGAAACATGCAACACATGACAGAGTGAGAGATGAACACAGGGACAAAAACAGGGAGAAGCCTTGTGGAGGGGATGTAAAACACCTTCGAGCATGGAAGGTTAGCAATGATCTGCAGACCCAGAAGCTTGGTTGCAGTAGACAGAGGCAAGCCCTGCCCAGGGTCTGAGCAACACACAGCCTCTGACCAGACTCCCTGCTTCTCTCCTCTCTTCCCCTACAGTCCAGAGTGTCAAGAACAAGCCTCTCTTCTTTGCTGACAAACTGTACAAGTCCATGAAGGTATGGCATCTGACCTGTTTATGAGCACTGTCTTTCCCAAACCTACAGGCACAGATGTGCGCCATCCCCCAGATGAGGACTTCAGGCTGCTGTTTCCCCGCTTTGCTGTTTATCAACATCTACGTTTGGCCCAAAGATAGCCTTTCTCAATCAAGGGTGATTTTTGTGCCCCTCCCCCCAGGGATATTTGTGATATCCAGACAAATTTCTGGTTGCCAAATCTTAAAAGAGTTTTGCTGTTGGCATCTGGTGGGAGTGACCAGGGATGTTAATATACCCTGTCGTACACAAGATAGATCCCTAGATCAAAGAATGATTCAACCCAAATGCTTGAGAACTCACTACATGCCAAGGCCGGAGCCTTGTGTCCACCTCTAACCACAGTTGACACCATGGGAGTTCTATGGGCCCATGGTAACCCCCTTATTTCCTAGAAGAACAAAGAGCAGTACAGGGCAGTTAAAGTTGGACCCATGTCTGTCAATTCTTTCCTATCCTATCCTTCCCCTGCCTCCTGGGGGCTGCCAGGAACCCCTTGTGTGTCTTGGGTTTGGCTGCATCACTCCAGCCTCTGCCTTCATCTTCATGTGTATGCCTGTGTCCCTTAGATGCCACCCAGAGGGTTTAGGGCCCTAATCCAACATGACATCATTTTAATCCATTACAATGGTATGGTAATTAATTTTCCATCTCCATGCTACAATATTTGGGAGGAAAATCAAATTAAAGGATGGGGGGAAAAAAGGATTTGGGCTCACAGTTTCCGAGGCTTCAATCCATAGTTTTCTAGTCCATTGCTTTTGAGCCTGTGGTGATGTAGAATATGGTGTCAGGGAGGAGGACATGGCAGAGCAGAGCTTCTCACTTCCTGGTAGCCTGGAGCAGAGAGGGAAGAAGGGACCAGGGACAAAGGATATCCTCTGCCACCCCCAGGACTTACTTCACCCTCGCCACTTCCCAGCAATACCATCAGATTGTATGTGCATCAATGCGCTGACCTGTCGAGGAAGTCGGAAACCTTAAGACCCACTTCCCCAAATCTCTAGCTCTGAACACTGCACTGGCGACCAGGCCTGCAAGTGCATGGATTTGGGGAAGGATGCGGCCTCCGAACCACAGCGACACAAAGACTCTGTTCCCAAGGTTACGTCCTGAGGCTCCAGCAGAATGTGAGCTTTAGCAGGGCCCTCTCAGCCCACACAGACCCTCCGCGCCTCTCTGTCTGGCCAAGGGAGTTATCTGTGGAAGATAGTGATGGAATAACCCCCCCACCACCACCCCGGTTTGGGAGGGCAGAAGCGACAGGCAGGCAGACATCTGTTGACCTAGCTCTCCCTCTCCCTCATGCCCCATGTATCTCTCCTTCTTGGCTCCCCCAGGGTGCCGGCACGGATGAGAAGACCCTCACCAGGGTGATGGTTTCCCGGAGTGAGATAGATCTGTTAAACATTCGGAGGGAATTCATTGAGAAATATGACAAGTCTCTACACCAGGCCATTGAGGTAAGAGAAGGGCTGCCCAGTGGGCTCTTGGATTACCGTGTGATCCGGGGAACTGCTAAATGGAGACCTGCCTCATGTTTTCACTATGAAAATATTTCTTTTATTTTATGTGTGCGTGGTTGCCTACATGCCTACAGACATGTCTGAGGCATGCCTGGTGCCCATAAAATTCAGAAGAAGGTGACAGGTTCCTTGCCACTGGAATTGCAGAGAGTTGTGAGCTGCCATGGGTGCTGGGAACCAAACGTGGGTCCTGTGCAAGAGCAGCAAGTGTTTTTAACAACTAAACCATCTGTCCAGCCCCTGGGTTTTGCTTCTTGTGGTTTTATTAAAGCATAGTTTACAGGCTGGTCAGGTGGAAACAGGCTACCAATGCTAACTGTGTTGCCAACCATACTAAAGTTTAGCTTATATACCACAAAATTGACCTTTTTTAAAGAATATAACTCAGCCGGGCTGTGGTGGCGCACACCTTTAATCCCAGCACCACTCGGAAGGCAGAGGCAGGCGGATCTCTGTGAGTTCGAGGCCAGCCTGATCTACAAGAGCTAGTTCCAGGACAGGAACCAAAAGCTACAGAGAAACCCTGTCTCAAAAAATCAAAAAAAAAAAAAAAAAAAGAAAGAAAGAAATTTCTTATTTTGAGACAGGGACACTGTGTTGCCCAGGCTAGCCTTAAGGTCACTCTGTAGCCCAAGCTGATGTTGAACCTGCCTTCCTCTTGCCTCCACCCCCTATTGGCTGGGATTACAGAGGTGTGCCACCATACCTGGTTCCTATAGGACTAGGAATCAAATCCAGGACTTCATGCTTGGCAAACAAGAGGTCTAACTGAGCCACATCCCTAGGCCCTCTTTGAAGGCTCTTATTTGTTTATTTGATGTCGTACTCTGAATTGAGGCTAGGGCTTCATGCATCCTAAGCACGCACACTACCAATGAGCTGTATTCCCAGTTCAGAATATAGCCAAGCATCTTGTAATCTCAAAGTAGTGATAGATCAAGGTCATTCGTGACTCTGTAGTGATTTTGAGGCCAACCTATGTTACGTGAGAGACCTTGTCTCCAAAACCAAAAGCAGGGCTGGAGAGATGGCTCAGAGGTTGAGAGCATTGCCTGCTCTGCCAAAGGTCCTGAGTTTAATTCCCAGCAACCACATGGTGGCTCACAATCTGTAATGGGGTCTGGTGCCCTCTTCTGGCCTGCAGGTATACACACAGACAGAATATCGTATACATAATAAATAAATAAACACTTTTTTAAAAAAAAGCATTATAAGTAAGAGGAGCCCCTTCTCAATGAGGATCGGTACCGGTGGGGAGAGACTGGCTTCCTGACTACCGACAGACCCCTGTGGTATATCAGAGTAACTGGTGCTTACCAGCGTGTTGCTGGCCTGAGCCTTGGTGCAGTGTGGCTCTCTCGGATAATGGCCATATAACAGTAGGCATCAAGGGCTGAGGAATTTGCCTGACTTCCCAAGAGACAAGATGGAGGCCTTTGGGAAGCTGCAGGGCTGAATGGACAGGAGACCTGGGATGGCAGATAGGATCCAATCTGCTCCCCAGATAGAGGTAGAGGAAGCACCGATGCTCTGTAGCTCTTCAGGGTCAGATTCTAGGGGTACCGGGCCTGTGTCTGGAGAGGTCTCTGGTCTTGGCACAGCAACTGTGTTGGTGACAGATTCTAGGCTGATGGCTACTAGGAGGCTGGGGTATTTAGACCAGAATTATTCTTTTCTTACAAATCTGCTTTCTCTGCCCTGCCAGGGTGACACCTCTGGAGACTTCCTGAAGGCTTTACTTGCTCTCTGTGGTGGGGAGGACTAGAGCTACCGGTCTTAGCGGCCCCTCTGCCAAGTAGCGGCACCAGCCACCGTGACCTGACCAAGCCATCGTTCCAGCTGCAGAGACTAAGGAAGGAGGGGTGAGGGGTGGAGCTGGACTACCATTCAGCTGGGGCTCTCTCTAGCCATGGAGGGTCCCTGGTGGTCCCTTCTGTTATCCCTCCTGCTCGTGGCTGGAGAATCACAGCCCTATATCACGCTCACCCCTGTTCCCCTCTATCTCCTCTCAGCCCTCCCTAGCTTCTGTCCCTTGACATAATCCCTGCCCTGATTCAAGCTTTGTCACATCTCAAAACATACCAAGCCTCTGTCTATAAAATGAGTGATGTGTATACTTTGGGGGAGGGGGGCCATGGTGGCTGGTGTCGGGCGAGCATTCTGGGATAAAGGAGATAGATTAGTCTTCCCCCACTGCTAAAGCACTGAGGTAGGAACTTCCATGCCCAGGTTTCACTTTGTGTCTACGACACCCTGGGCTTCAGACCTTGGGCCCATCCCTTCCCTTCTCTGGCCTCGGTTTTGTTATTTACAAAATGAGAGACCAAAATATCTTGGCTTCCCTTCTAACCCCGACCTTCTGGGCTGAGCCTGCAGCTTGAATCTTATTCTTTGTTTTACAAAGGGAAGAAACAGGGCGAAGGAGATCATTCACGTAAGCAAGTTCTGTGCAAGCGTGAGGACCTGAGTTCACTCTCCAGAACCCATATAAAAAAGCTGGGTACCCGCAAAGCACAGTGGTGCGCACCTTTAAAGCCAGCACTAAGGAGACAGAGGCAGGCAGAGCTCTGTGGGTTCAAGGGCAGCCTGGTCTACACAGCAAGGTCAGGCCAGCCAGGGATCTACAGAAAGACCCTATGTGAAAACAAGTATATATAAACAAAAAACCAGGTGCACTGTGGTTTTATAACCCCAGTGCTGGAAGATGGAGACTGGAGGACCATGGACCTTCACCTCCTCCTGCTTCTTGGGAAGATACGGCGTGGGAGCCTGCTGTAAACCCGGCAAGTCCCAGCCTCCCTGGGCTTCTGGTCCCCCGTCCTTCCTCCCTGAATGTCCTCCCCTCACAACCAACCCGTAGGTCCTCTCCAACATCCTCAAGGACACATGCTATGAGTAGATCTTCTAGAGTGGTGGGCGGGAGAGATAAGCCACGGGGCTCAGCAGCAGCTTCTCTGTCCATCTTCCCCGAGCCACCTTCTATTCTGCACTTGGATCTGAGAGTTTTCAGGGACTGTGATGGGAAGCTGTCTATTTGGCTGGCCCATGGAGGTTATTGCACTCAGGGTGTTGATGGTAGAAGCCGTCCACGTGGACAGTTGGGAGATTCTGGGTCTAGTCTTTTGTCATTCACTTACTGGGTGACCTTGCAGCCATTATCCATTGACCTCATTGGGCCTCAGTTTTCCCATTTGTATAGTGAAGGGTTGGATACATGAGTCTGAAACAACAACAACAAAAACCCACTTACTTGTCAGATCTCTTCCCTTCTTCCAACAGGCAGGAGTCCAGGTGCCCTGGAGGGTCAGCTAAGAGTGTTTTGAGGTATTTGCCAAATTTAACAATTAGCAAAATGGCTAATGGTTTTTGGAGTCAGGCTTTTTATCAATGTTATGAACTGTAGCCTCTTTGAACCTCCATTTGCTTGCCTGTCACATGGGCCCCCAGTTCTCAGCCTTTGTGGGAAGCCAGTGAGACAGTCCCCAAAGCACTTCACCGAGCATCTACGTGGCTTGAAGGCAGCGGTTGTCACCCTCTGCCTTGAGCCAGGTTCAGTGGCGGGAGCTAAGAGCTGATTCCATGATGTCTCTGAACTTGGGCCTCAAGAAGTGGGGCAGCCTTGGATCATAGAGACACCCAAGCCGAGGAAGAATGATGCCCTAATAGATATGTGTAAAGCTGCTCACTATGGCCAGCTCTGATCTCAGAACTTAGGAAGCAGAGGCAGGAGGTGAGCCTAGGTTACATATCAAGACCCCCATCTTAAAATAAAAATGGGGCTGAAGGGATGGTTCAACAGGTAATGGTGTGTGTGTGTGTGTGTGTGTGTGTGTGTGTGTGTGTATTTGTGAAAACCTAAATCCAAATCTCCAACATATGGTAAAAAAAAAAAAAAAGCTATGTATGGGGGCTGGGAGAGATGGCACAGTGGTTAGGAACACTGGCAGCTGCTCACAACCAGCTGGAATTTCAGTTCCAGCAGAGCCAATGCCCTCTTCTGTCTTCAGAACCCAAGCATGAAGTGGTACGCGAACGCACACAGGCAAAACCCTCCTACACATGAAATAAAAATAATGTTTTGCCAAGCAGTTTCTGACTGTGAATTCCTGTAACCCCAGGTGGGAGGAAAGAGAAAGTGAGGAAAGAATGTTGACTGGGCCCCAGGTTTTCTAAGAGGCCCTGCCCTGGGGGAGAGAACAGGGCCCTGGAATACTCCTCTGACCACACTCATATATTAAAATTTTTTTAATTGCATATATGTGCATCCATATGTTAAGTATTTCAAAGGGAGATGAGCTAGGGAAAAAAGCAAAGGAACGTGAGGGCTAGGAGAGAGGAGACCCCCCCCACACAAGGCAATCACAAAAAATGCTGTGGGAACTAGGAATGAAAACAGCTGAGCCCAGTGCTTACGTCGAGGAAGGCATGTTTCTGTGCCTCTGCGTTCCTCCTCCCCTCTGTCTCCAGCTGAGGAGTGTCGCCTTTCAAGGATTGCTCATAAGAGGGAGGATTTCAGTGTTTGTAGGGTGAAGTGGTTGTGACAGAAATGGAAGTTTGCATCCAGTTCCAGAGGGCCTGAAATGTCAGCATTTTTCTGGATTCCAGGAAAGTCTGTAAGAGTTGTGGGCATGGGGGTGGTGAGGTATCCCTGTGCGTGAAAAGCATGCCTTTCTGTCTGTCTGTCTTTCTTTCTTTCTTCCTTTCTCTTTCTTTCTTTCTTTCTCTTTCTTCTTTCCTTTCTTTTTCCTTTGTTTCTTTCTCTTTCTTTCCTTTCTTCCTTACTCCCTTCCTCCTCCCCTCCCTCCCCCTTTCTTTTTTTCTTGAAGCTGGGTCTCCTGATGTAGCCCAGGCTGGCCTCAAACTTGCATGGAGATGGTGATAACCTGATCCTCCTGCCTCTGCCCCAGAGTGCTGGATTACAGGCATAGATCACCAACTCCGACAAGCTGTACTTACACAGAAGTCAGCCATTCTGAAATCTTAAACAGCTTGTTCATTAATAATTATTCATTCATTCATGAGCTTAAACTTTCTGATACCTGCTGTGTACCATGCTGAGTGCTGGAAGCAAGAGCTAGGAACGCTGGGAGCTAGAGCTATGAACGCTGGGAGCTAGAGCTATGAACGGTGATGGTTCCAATCCTTACAGGGCTTCAGTGAGTGCCTCTTCTGTGTGAATCTCTCCACAACAGCATTGGAGATTGCTCTCCTGGCCCAGGCTCAAGGCACAAAAGTGATGGGGGTTAAATTAAAAGGGAAGCCACAGCAGTTCAAACCACCACTGTCTCAGAGTAGGAGATGGGGGAGGATGGCTTTGAGGTGCAGGTGGTGCCTCAGAAATTCTCACCTCCCTCGGTGACTACAGAGAGGAAGTGCTTGTCCATCACAGGAGTTTGAATGGAGTTTGAACCTCCACGGTCTGGGGTTCTAATAAACACCCCATGCCTTCTAGCATCCAAATCACCCTCTGAGATGAGCTTCAAGGCTGGAGTCTCCTTCCCTCCGGGTCCTCGTTGTTCTTTTTTGCCGTTTGTTTTTATTTTACGTGTTGAGTTGGGGGAGTACTTACACGTATGTATGTGAATCGTACATACATGCTTGTCCCCTCAGACACCAGAAGAGGACACTAGAGCCCCTGGAGCTGTAGTTACCATGCAGAAGCTGTGAACCAAATCCAGGTCCTCTGCCAGAGTCACAGGTGCCATCTCTCCAGCCCACTTGTTTTTAAAACAGGTTCTTACGTACCACAGGCTAGCCTCAAATCGCCTAGGTGACTAAGAATGACCTTGAACTTCCAACCTTCCTGCGGAAAGAGCAAGTGGGTACCACTATATATAGTTTATGTCACGCTGGGGCTGGAACGCAGGGCTTTGTGCCTGCCAGGTAAGCCCTCTGCCACCTAAGCTATATGCCTACACATCTCTGGTTCCCTAGTCACTTTCCTTAGACCGTGCATTTTCCCTTCAGGAAAGTCCTTTTCAGAAGCCTCGGTCTTTGGGGACCACACCTGAAGGAAGTAGGGCTTGGGAGGGGGCTGGCCCTGACTGGAGCAGAGCCCTGTACCTGCTCACACTTCTGCTAACAGACAGCAGTTGGCTGCTGTGAAATTCCTGACGCTGTCTCTCCCCAGCTCAGTGGAAGCCAGAGCCGAGCTGCTGAACCTCCGTAACCCCCACCAGAGAAGCTTCGCCCCAGAAGCCATTGTTTCCTTTGCAGGACTATAAGGCAACCAAGGCGAGTTCCTATTGGTGGATGACTTGCCTAAAGACAATGTCACAGCAGGACTGGCAGAAAAAACTTCCTCATTTCACACTTGGAGGGAGGCTAGAGGGAAATTCTAACTATACCACAGCTTCCATCTTGGGCCGCAGGCATGGGTCGGAGTTCCAGTCAACAACTAGCATTAGGGAACCCATTGGCCTTCCTATGCCTTATTCCTATCCCTTCTCTGAGAGGGAGGGCAGCAAGGGGGTGTCTACCTCAGAGTTGTGAAGTTAAACCAATGCGTGTACATCTGAGAGTACTGTCCATACCAGAAGACCAACTCCATGACATCGGTTCTTCATTGTTAATAATTGACACACCCAAAGAGAACCTCAATGCCCCACCCCTCGCCATGTTCAATGAGATTCTACACTGTGCCCCCACCCTCGGAGGCCTAAGGAAACAAAAAGGATTATTAGAGACTGAGGATATAGCTCAGATGGTAGTGTTGGCTTGGAATACAAAAAAAAGTCCTGGGTTCAGTCTTCAGGAAGTTGGAAGCAGAATGGGGTTCAAAGTCAAGACTGGGAAGATGCTTCAGTTGGTGAAGCGCTTGCCACACTAGTGTGAGGACCTGTGTGCATACCCATCCCCAGTACTCACGCTTAAAAAAAAAAAAAAAGAAGAAAGAAAGAAGGGGAGAAGGAGAAAGGAAAGAAAGGGAGGGAGGGAGGGAGGGAGGGAGGGAGAGAGGAAGGGAAGGAGGAAGAAGGAAGGAGGCTTGGTGTGGAAATGTGAAGTTTAGGGGTGAAGACAAGGGTATCCCTGGGACTTGCTAGCTGGCTAACGGAGCTGAATCAGTGAGTTCCAGACTCAGCAAGAGCCCCTGTAAGGTGA